CATGGTAAGCCCGAGTGTAGCTCGGGGTTACCGCTCTTGGTACTCAAATGTTACCCCGAGCTACACTCGGGAAAACCGCTAAGGAGGTTAAGGAAGGAAGGAAGGCAGCAAATGTTGTACATGCTGGTTACAGTGCATTTCTCTCTGAAATTCTGAGGAAAATGGGTCGTTCCAGACATTGTTCAGAAGAACAGCGTACCTTGATTAAAAAGTTGATTGGAGAGGGTAAAACATATAAAGAAGTGCAGAAAATGATAGGCTGCTCAGCTAAAATGATCGCAAATGCTTTAAAATGGCAACCAAAACCTGAAAGACGTGGAAGAAAGCGAAAAACTACCATTCAAATGGATGGAAGAATAGCCAAAAATGGCAAGGACTCATCCAACAATCGGCTCCAGGAAGATCAAAGAAGGTCTAAAGTTACCTGTGAGTACTGTTACAATTAGAAGACGCCTATGTGAAGCCAAGCTATCTGCAAGAAGCCCCCGCAAAGTCCCACTGTTGAAAAAAAAAAGACTCGCTGAAGAGGTTACAATTTGCAAAGAGCACATTGACTGGCCTAAAGAGAAATAGTGCAACATTTTGTGGACTGATGAAAGTAAGATTGTTCTTTTTGGGTCTAGTGGCCGGAGACAGTTTGTCAGACAACCCCCAAACACTGAATTCAAGCCACAGTACACTGTGAAGACAGTGAAGCATGGTTGCGCAAGCATCATGATATGGGGATGTTTCTCATACTACGGTGTTGGGCCTATTTATCGCATACCAGGGATCATGGATCAGTTTGAATACATCAGAATACTTGAAGAGGTCATGCTGCCTTATGCTGAAGAGGAAATGCCCTTGAAATGGGTGTTCCAACAAGACAGCGACCCCAAACACACCAGTAAACGTGCAACTTCTTGGTTCCAGACCAACAAGATTGACGTTATGGAGTGGCCAGCCCAATCCCGGATCTTAATCCAATAGAAAACTTGTGGGGTGACATCTAAAATGCAGTTTCTGAGGCAAAGCCAAGAAATGGGAGAACTGTGGAATGTAGTCCAATCATCCTGGGCTGGAATACCTGTTCACAGGTGCCAGAAGTTGGTTGACTCCATGCAACACAGATGTACAGCAGTTCTCAGAAACCGTGCTTATACAACTAAATATTAATTAAGTGATTCAAAGGAAAGCAAAATCTTCAAACATTTTTCAGTTTTATATAGTGAATGTTTGAGTTTGTAAAGAAGAATACAAACACTGCTATTTTTTTTGAACAGTCTAATATTCACTTTTCTTCAATTTTATTAAAGGAACAACACAAATTTGATATATTTTTTTCATGTTTTGATTTGGAATAGAATGTGTAGTGTTCCCAATGCATTTGTGTGTATGGAAATAAAAGCTATTAGAAGGATTTTGAGCTTTATTCACTTTTTTCAACACACTGCTATTATTTTGAACACGACTGTACAAGTCTGCACGGACAACGTGACAGCAGTAGCCTATGTAAACAGGCCAGGAGGCACAAAGAGTAGAAGCCTTTAAACAATGGCAGAGTTATGTTATGCTTTTCCCCCCTTCTAATTAATTCTGCAGGCCCTGAAGAAAATTCAAGCAGAGAGGGTGACGGTCATTTTTGTAGCACATTTTTGGCCAAAACAAAAACAGGTTTTCTCCTCCCAGCTAGCAGTCAAGCCATACTGGAGAAGAAGGCATTTCTCAGTGCTCAGTAGACATGCTTTTTGGCAAGACACAAAAAAAGTCACGAGCAATATATGGGAGGGCTTGGAATGTATACAAGTCTTGGTGTGCTTCCAATTCAAGGGCTCTGGAAGATCTATCTTCGATCCTGGAATATCTGCAACAGGGGGCAGACAAGAAATTAGCGATCAGCACACTAAAAGTCCAGGTCACAGCATTGGGAGCTTTTTTTTTTTTTTTTTTTTTTTTTTTAGAGCATCCTGTTTCTCCGGAGCCCCTATTCATTAGTTTTTTCCGGGCGCTATCCCACTCCAGACTTGTTTATAGTTAGTGTTTCCTAAATGAGATTTCTCAGTGGTTCTAAAGGCCCTAACTCAAGTCTCCTTTCAAACCTGTAAGCTTTGCAACCTTGAAGTTCATCCTGTTGAAGACAGTGCTACTTATACAGTAGCTGTGACTTCGGCTTGCAGAATTAGTGATCTACATATGTTGTCAGTCAGATGACCTTTTTTTTTTTTTTTTTTTTTTTTTTTTTTTTTTTAATGATTTATTCGGATAGTAGTGTTCTACAAACCGATCCGGTCTTTCTTCCTAAAGTAGCTTTGGCTCATCATCGCTCGCAGGATATTGTTTTACAAACATTTTGTCCTAACCCGTCAGGGGAGAAAGAGACTCATACTTTGGACATAAGAATTGGCAAAAAATTTCAGAAGTTCTGAGTCTTTTTTTTCGTTTTATATGCTGGAACCAAGAAGGGGCAGAAAGCCACCAAGGGATCCATATCTTCACAGCTCAGATTGGCAATTAAGTTAGCTTATACACATTCAGGCCTCGGTCCACAGTTGAAGGTTCGTGCTCATTCCACGAGAGCTCTGGCATCCACATGGTCAGAGAAAGACGGTGCTACCACGGAAGAAAATGTATAAAGTGGCGACGTCGTGAGTCTCAGGGCTTCCACCCTAGACGTTTCTCTGGGATGAATCCTCTCCTTCCTGCAGCTGGTTCTGGACTAGCTTTTGGCTCAAGCACTATTGAAGGTTAGGTCTCTCCCCTTTCTATGTTATTTTAGAGACCATAAACCTCTCACTGCTTGATTTAGACCTTTGTCTAGGGAGTTTCCTGCGTTGTGCCTCTTGTTTCTTGCTCTGTGATCCTGAGGGATCTGAATCTGATTCCCTCTGAGCTTCAGAAACTTCCTTTTGAACCCATTAGAGACATTCTTCCCTCTGCTCTAACCCACAAGCTGTTATCCCTTGTAGTCATCACCTTTGCAAGGTAGGTGTCTGAGCTGGTGGCCTTATCTTGCAAGAAATAATTTGTTTTTCCGTAGGGACAAGGTGATGTTGAGGCCCAGGACTTCCTTCTTGCCTAAGGTAGCTGATGCCTTTCACATCAACAGAACGTTGTTCTTGCATTCCTCTGTCCAGCTCCAGTACACCAAAAGAACATTTCACGCCATTGTCTTGATGTGGTTCAGACTTTCAGAAAATTTTAATTTCATTTTAGTCATGCTGGAAAGCCTGGTCTGATTAGTCTCTCGATTTCAGCTGCGACATTCTGATGGTAGGGTCAGAATTTGGCATAAGCAACATGAATGCATAGATCCATCCTGCCTTGTATCAACGGTTCAGACTGGTGGTGTAATGGTGTGGGGGATATTTTCTTGGCACGCTTTGGAACCCTTAGTACCAATTGAGCATCGTTTAAACGCCGCAATCTACCTGAGTATTGTTGCTGATCATGTCCATCCCTTTATGACTACAGTGTACCCATTTTCTGATGGCTACTTCCAGCAGGATACTTCACCATGTCACAAAGCTCAAATCATCTCAAACTGTTTTTTTAAACATAATAGGCATGGACAGCAAAGTGGATAAATGTTTAGCACTTCCTCCTAGCAGTACTAGGGTCGTTTGTTCAAATCCCAACCACGGCACCACCTGCCTGGAGTTTGCATGTTCTCCCTATGCCTGTGTGGATTTCCTCCCACACTCCAAACACATGCTAGTATGTTAATTGGCTCCTGTCTAAATTGGCCCTAGTATGTGTATGTATGAAGGTAAGTTAGGGACTTTAAATTGTACGCCCCATGAGGGTTAGGGACTGGTGTAAATGTACAGTATATGTAAAGTGCTGCGTAAATTGACTGCACTATAGAAGTACTTGTAAAACAAAAAATTATTTCACTGTACTCCAATGGCCTCCACAGTCACCAGATCTCAATCCAGTAGAGCACCTTTGGGATGTGTTGGAAGAGAGATTTGCATCATGGATGTGCAGCCGACAAATCTGCAGCAACTGCGTGATGCAATCATGTTAAAATGGACCATTGACTGTATTGTCCATCTCTTAGAATGCACTTGAACTTCCTGAAGTCCTAAAGGCTAAAGACGATCTGTGTCTTGCAGTGGACAGAAAGAATATCAGATTTTTGTACTCAAAGTAAAACTGAGAGACACCGGCCCCACACCTTCTGTATTCAATGATCATGCTTTCGGTACTGCTTTGCTACAAAACTGGGGAATGCTGCTAGTGGAAGGAGTTGTCCCAGGCTAGCCTACAGTGTGTGTGTTTTTTTGTTTTTTTTTTTTTTTTTTTTTTGCCAGTTTCCAATCTTCCTGTATGTTTCAGTGAAGGTGAGACTTAAGGTGAAAGACTGTGTCCCTCAGTGGACTCTCAAGAAAAGGATTTTACAGTGAGTGCAAAAATCCTGTATTAACATTTTCTTTAAACGTTTTTTGCTTTTAGTTGGTCCTTTTTAATTATAGTTTATTTTGTTTTTTTAGAAAATTTGGACGTTTTTCATCAAAATGAGAAAATAAAAGGTTCATATGTTAAAAAGTATTAAAACCATTAGATTATACTAGTTCACATTAGATTTGCTAGGTAATTTCTAGAGCAAATTAACCTTTTCGCCACGAGAGTATGCATATATACGTACCAAAATATAAACAAACCTGTGCTCTCCCGGCACAGTTTCCGGCGCCTAACGGAAAGCTCCTAAATGCTACTTTTCATCAGATTTTCAGTCATGTGACAGCCAGTCACGGCGATCACATAATCATAAACCCCATCCCATGTTCCAGCATCAGAAACCTCTTATAGGGAGGTGCCGATGTTAAGGGTTAAGTTACCACTTGAAAATGTTATTAACTATTTCATATTTTGTGTTTATGTTGTTATTTTACTGAAATTATATAAAATGTGAAAGAATAGTTTGATTTGTGGATGCTATATTACATATAATAACGTTCCCCCTTTTTCCCCTCTTTATTGTATGCCTTTTTGGACTGCTTAATGTGATTCTCTATTAGTGGCTCTATGAGAATTGGAAAAGATTTCATCCTTTTTACGAAGAAGGACGATACAATGACATGTTTGTTTATGTCGCGTACCTTTCATGAAGAAGAAGGCATTGATGAGGTTGGTAAATAAAAATGACCACAACATTCCCATCAAAGTGCCAAAATATCAAGTTTCCGTATATATATTACAACTGAAAGCATTATAAACAATTAAAATTTTTTGAGGACAAAAACCTGGAAAAGTGCAGTTAATACTATAATTAAATTATAGGTAAGTCCAAACTCACCAATTTCATAAAAGCTTTATAACGCAATTCGAATAGTAATTTTTAATGCTAAATTTTACATGAAGCTTTCATTGAAGGTAAACTCCACTTATGCAAGTTTTAATGTGGTAGTATAGCCACTTTGTTAATTTTTATTTACAGGTAAGCTTATAATAATGCTTACCTGTAGGTAAGAGTGATATCTCCTAAATGTGCACCATTTAGGAAATATTCACTTTTAGTTAGAGCTGGCGCATGCGCTCTGAAGGAACGGCATACCCTTGTCATTCCTTCAGAGCACTGTGACATGTCCCAAGACTCCCATGTGCATGCGTGGGAGTGATGTCGTCATTGCAGTGTGGCCATTCAAGCCACTGGAACCCGTGGACCCAGAAGGAGGACCAGGTGAAGATGGAAGCCCTGTCAGCAGTGACAGTGCACCGCTGGAGGGCTTCATTTTAAAGTAAGTTTTACATAATGTACTAGTATGTGATGCATACAAGCACGTTACAGTATCTCACAGAAGTGAGTACACCACTTACATTTTTATAAATATTTTGTTATATCTTTTCATGTGACAACACTGAAGAAAGTACACTTTGCTACAATGTAAAGTAGTGAGTGTACAGCTTGTATAACTGTAAATTTGCTGTCCTTCAAAAGAATTCAACACACAGCCATTAATGTCTAAACTGCTGGCAAACAAAAGTGAGAAAAAGGCAGTGCTGGAAAATAATGGTGGCCACACAAAATATTGACACTTTGGGCCCAATTTGGACATTTTCACTTAGGGATGTACTCACTTTTGTTGCCAGCGGTTTAGACGTGTGTTGAGTTATTTTGAGGGGACAGCAAATTTACATTGTTATACAAGCTGTACACTCGCTACTTTACATTGTAGCAAAGTGCCATTTCTTTAGTTTTGTCACATGAAAAGTGAATAAAATATTTACAAAAATGTGAGGGGTGTGCTCACTTCTGAGATACTGTATGTCTTTATCTTGCAGGGGATTTTTTTTTTTTTCAGATGCAGTTTACAGTTCTATTTCTTTCTTTAAATCATATGCTCCATTTCACTTGCACAAGTTCATGACTGCATTTTGTAAGGAGCTGTTTTCTAATTTGTATATCTTTCTCAGAAGAATTAGATATAGTTTTGTTACACTGTACTATTTTTAAAGGACTTGTAAAAAAAATACATACATACTCACCTTCATGTTGCAGCATCTCTGGCTCTAAGACATGTATAAGAACCACTCTGATCATTAGTTGGTGGCCTGAGCTGTCATTGACTGCATCTGGCTCACAAGGGGAGGATGTTTATTCATGTAGCCTTAGCATGGGTTGTTGTTGTTTGTTTATTACAGGCATTTATGTAGCGCTGACCACTTACGCATGTTGTACATTCACATCAGTCCCTGGCCTCAATGAGCTTATAGTTTAAGATCCCTAACTCTGATTCATACATACACATACTAGTGCCAATTTAGACAGGATCAAATTGCCTACCAGCATGCCATTGGCGTCTGGGTGGACACCGGAGTACCGGTAGGAAACCCGCACAGGAAGAACACCACAGGCAAGTAGTGCTATGGTTGGGTTTCAAACAAACGACCCTAGTGCTGCCAGGCAGAAGTGCTAACTGTTTAGCCACTGTACTGCTTGGTTATGGTGCCGAGGACTATTGGAGTTGTGTGCAGGGGAGTGATAAAGAACAATAAAAAAAAAAAAAGATGGATATCTTTTGCCTTTCATTTATAACATATTAAATCATGTTCTTTTTTTTAAATATTTTTTCAAAGGTTATAGTTCCTCTACCTACATGGAATTCCAAAACATGTGAACCGTTGACGGATAATATGGAGAAATTTGCCATTGAGACAGAGCTCATTTGCAAGTATTCTCCATTTCACTCTCAGAAGGATGTTATGGAACAATTCCACAAGATTACCGGAGAATCAGGTATAAGCATAGTAGGAGTAAATTGATTTTACGAGTTAGTAATTTCATTTGTTCTAAGTTTGTAGATTCTTGAAGTCCTTTTGTTAAGTAGCTGACTACATTAGATGTAACAATGTGCTATTGCTCTGTTTTAGGTACACTTGTTATAATTTTTAACTTAAAGCTAATGGACTCTGGAGAACCAGAACTTGATGTAGTTTCTGATGCAAAAGACATTCAGATGGCTGGGACTCCTCCAGAAGGAATGTAAGTTGGACATTGGCGATAAACCTGCTAATTATATATTTCTTGGTTGAATGCTACATGTGCCTTTTTTTTTTTTTTTTTTTTTTTTGTGATGCTAACTTCTCCTTAACGTTAGGTAGACATTTATGTACTTCGGTATCTGCACATAAGTGTACATGCCTTTTTATAGAACTGCTAAAACCCTGAGAGTTTCAATATGCAAATAGTGGTTCCTGAAGTTATACTTGGCTAAGTCTCTTCCCAATTCATCTGTAAGGAATGCAGCCATGCTTGCATGCACTGTAAGGTGCCTGCTCTACATCTATCCAAGGTTTAGGAGGACCAACCAGTCCTTTTTCTTTATTTTAATTGCTCTCATTGATTCCATGGGGGGGGAATCTCCTCATATGTGTGAAAAATTCTGTCTCTAACAGAACTCTACACAGTTCTGCACAGAGATGCAAAACAGCATGTCTCCCTAGTAAAACACATACAGCACACAGTTAACCCTTTGATCGCCCCAGATGTTATCCCCTTCCTGCCAAGTGTCATTAGTACAGTCAGTGCCTTTTATTAGCACTGATCACTGTATTAGTGTCACTGGGGATGTCAGTGACAGATCACACCCAGTGTCAGAATGCCTGCTGCAGTCCCACTATAAGTCGCTGTTCGTCGCTATTACTAGTATAAAAAAAATTTAAATTCCAGTATATATACACCGCCATTTGTAGACGCTATAACTTTCATGTAAACCAAATAATTTACACATATTGGGTTTTTTTTTTTTTAGCAAAGACGTAGCAGAATATATTTTGGGCTAAATGTGTGAAGAAATGTAGATTTTGAAAAAAAAATTTATTGGATATGTTTTTTTTGGGGGGGGGGAGAGGTTTCAAAATAGTTTTTTTTTTTTTTTTTTTTTTTTTTTTTTTTTTTTTTATAGCGCACAAAAAAACAGCAGAGGAAAGAAAGCTCTATTTGTGGGGGGAAAATGACATAAATTTGATTTATGTACAGCATTGCATGACCAAGCAATTGTCAGTTAAAGTAAAGCAGCACCAAAAATGGCCTGGTCAGGAAGGGGGGGGTAAATCCTCTAGAGGGCAAGTGATTAAAGGAAATGGTCCATGACCAGGCTCCAACCTGCAAAGCTGATCTGGCAACTGCAATAAGAGAAAGTTGGAGCTGAATTGATGAAGAATACGGTTTGTCGGCAGTTAAATCCATGCCTCAGAGAATTCAAGCTGTTGTAAAAGCCAGAGGCTGTGCAACAAAGTGCTAGTGGTGTACTGTAGTGTTTTTTTGTTTTTTTTTTTTTTTTGTTTTTCCCCCCCCCCATGATTCCATATTTTCCTCCAGAATTGAGTGGTTCCGTATTTTTTCCCTCTGCTTGATCTGCAAAAACAGTTGCAACTGACTAGTCTTTTTTTTTTTTTTTTTTTTTTTTTTTTTTAAGTGTTCCCTAAAGCCAGAAGGTTGGAATGTTAAATGAAAATAGTTTTGAGGCATGTCTGTGATTATTTTTTTTTTCTACACAACTGATTTCTGACCGCCCATAGCAGATATACTCCTACAGGGTGGCAGGGGTGCGCAAAATCACGTGTAAATATATGTGATTTTGTGTTTCTGGGTAGGGGGCACTCATGAGCCGCGTGCACACTACCTGTGCTGCCATTCGCGGCCCCGGCTTTCAATCATCGAGTCCTGGACTGTGATTACGGAGCATCTCCAACGGGAAGGAGGACTGCTTTGTTTACTGCCAGTCCTCCCTGTAAGCTTGGGCACACTGCTCTGGATGGCTGTGCACAGCCATCCAGAGCAGTGTGATTACAGTGAAGCCCCCACACACCGTCCCCTATGTAAAACACTAAATTAACCCCTTTTGAGCGCCCCTCATGTTAACCTCTTCCTGCCCAGTGCCATTAGTATAGTGTCGCTGCTTTTTTTTTTTTTTTTTTTTTTTTTTTAACACTGATCACTGTATTGGTGTTATTGGGGGTGTCAGTGACACCAAGTCAGTTCCCCCCAGTGTCAGAATGCCTGCCGCAGTCCCGCTATAAGTTGCTGATCTCCGCTATTACTAGTAAAAAATAAATAAAATTCCAGCATCTATACCGCCATTTGTAAACGCTATAACTTGCACGTAAACCAATTAATTTACATGTATTGGAATTTTTTTTAGCAAAGACATAGCATAATACATTTTGGTGTAAATTTATGGCGAAATTTTATTTATTTATTTATTTTTAATTTTACTGGACAGGTTTAATAGCAAAAACTCTATTTTTTTTTTTCCTCAAAATTGTCACACAGGTGATCAAATACAGCTAAAAAAAAAGAGTTCAATTTGTGGGGAAAAAAAGATGTAAATTTCATTTGGGTGCAGAGTTGCATGACCGCGCAATTGTCAGCTAAAGTAACGCAGTGCCGTAATGCAAAAAATGGCCTGGTCAGGAAGGGAGGTAAATCCTCAGGAGGAGGCAAGTGGTTAAACAATTGAATGAACATTTTCCAAGAGTGGCAATTCCATACTTTTTTTCCGGGATTTCTATGCAGACGTGAGCCTGATTTTGCTCTCTCCAGCTTTGGGAAATAAACCTTAGTGTTACTTGCCTAGCTATACTAGCCAAGCTAAAGATGCTTGGTTGAATTAGCCAGCCTTAGGGGTTGGTCTTTGATTTTGACTTGCAAATGCCATTCATTTCCAACTGGTCTTCACTTTGCCTTCACATGGTAAAAGTGTATAAAGGATTAATGATTACCTTTTGGTCTGTGAAATAAAACAATTACATTATTTTATCATATCGGTTTATAAGTTCAAGAGAATACTTGTTGATCCTGGTAGAAATCCAGTGCTGTCCTGTGAACAGTGCTTTACTATCTTAAGCAATCTTATCAGCCCTGGTTAAAGGATAGGTTCATCATTAGTACCATGTTGCACACGTATTTAGGATGTAACATGTTGCTATGCTGCATCATCACCGTGACAGCAGATGGAGGTTCTTCTCCCTGCACCTGCTGTTATATTTTGAAAACCGTATGCCTGCACAGCCGTATCATTTATTCACAGGATTCTGTGAATGAATAAACTAGTCCCATCCTCCACCACAACAGACGGACTTGTAGCAATGAACTGGGAGCGTGCTGACCAGTGCGCTTGTAGTTCATTCACACTGCTTTCAGCTCAGGAACTGACTTCCAATACAGAGGTATGGGCAGAGAACTCTAGGCAGTGTCCGCATTCCAGTTCACTATCAAAAAAGGTTAAGTTCACCTTTAAAAAAAATACATCAATGCACATATCATTGGATTGCCGGTGTAGGGCCGTGCTCGTGCACTCTTTCTCAAGCTCTTTGCCTATTCCAAGGTACGGGCTTTCAGTTATAGAGCTGGAGGATGTGACTGTGAATGAGTGGATTACCACACTTGTATTCCATTGAGAACTGCAAGTCTGTCTGCAGCAGTAGTTTATTCACAGATCTCTGTAAATGAATAACACGTCTATGTGAGCGGAGCCTTGCACAGCTGCACCAGTTTCAAAAGCGACAGCTGTTGTGGGGGAGCACAACCTCTGCACGCTGTCACAGGATTCTGTAGTCCAAACAGATTTCTGACCAAGAGTGAACATTATCACCCTCGGACAGGAAGTACATTTCTGGTGGGATCAGATTAATAAAGCGTATGTTGTGGTAACCATGTTGTGCTCTCACAATCCACTTCCTGCAAAGTTATGTGGAGGATATCTTAAACTTTTTAGTATTACAATATTCATCGGTGCTTGATAAAAACATCACATTTGTGCTCTTCTAAAGATAAACAGATTAGCAAGAAATAGTTGGTGTTTCTCTTGACATTTTTTTTTTTTATTATTTGACAGCTGTCTGGTCTTTGAGAAACAATAGAATTATATTAAGACATATTGTAACATGCATATCCTCAGGATTCCCAGAATCCTACAAAGCTTTTGAGACTTGGGACTTTTCTGTGTTCTTAGATTCTAGATCTCTGCTATCCTTTGGAAAGCTTTGATATTTACTTTCTTTGGTAGTTGTTTCAAAAAAATGTCTGAGAAATGCAGCTTAGCTCTTTGCTCGGATTTTCTTCAATACCTTGGGATGTCTTCATTTGCTTTTGTATAAAGCTGAGTTTCTTGTCCTATTGAAATGCATTCTCGTATTGTGCTTTTGATTTCCTTTTAATTTTGTTTGTGTAAACTTTTTTTTTTTTTTTTTTTTTCCTGCATGTTTCTCGGTTTAGTTCAATTTACTTGACCAATAGCTTTTCCGTTGGTCAGGACTCCACTGCACTCTGTTCACTGCAGAGCACACAGTTGGAGCAATTTTTCTCCTTATGTTCATTGACTTACACAGCTCTCTGAATCTTGACTGTTGGGTTTATAGTGCAACCTACAGGAGTAGGACACTAGGCAGAAAAGAATACAGTACCGCCTATGGGCAGTCCCCTCTGGTATAAAACCCCCTCTTTGCTGTAGGCAATCCAGTTCTTTTGCCTAGTGTTCAGGAGAAAGGACTTAGTTCCCTGCTGGACCTGTGGTTCCATTGCCTTTTTCCTTTTTTTTTTCTGGGATTTTTTTCCTATGGAGATCTTCTGTCAACAGCCGGGCTGGGTGATGGGCTGGATAATCTAGATCCACTGGTCACCCCAGTCTGGCCAACCACCACACACAGACCTTTTAGCTAAGTGCTGGGTCAACAGCAACAGGCCCCATCCAGGACCGGGGCAGCCAGCGAGTTACATTTCTCACAGGGATACCTATGACCAGGCACTGAAGTCTGGGTCAGTGTTACCCAGGCAAACAGAATTTTTTGTTACTCACTGTAAAATACCTTTCTCGGAGTTCATTGATGGACACAGCACCCACCCTTCTATTGTATATACTACTGACGCTGCTTTATGAACTGGATTGCCTATAGAGGAGAGGGGGGCACTGCCCACAGGCGGTGCTGTGTTCTTTTCTGCCTTATGTCCTAATCCTGTAGGTGGTGCTATAAACCCAGTGGTCAACATTCAAAAAATCTATATCCGTCCATGAACTCCAAGAAAGGGATTTAACAGTGAGTAACAAGAAAAAATCCTGTTTTTTGGTGTGGTTTTTTTTTTTTTTTTTTTTTCTCCTGCACTATAGTAGGTCTTTTTTTGGTTTTCTGTGCATTTATTAAAGTATAACTAAAGGCAAAACTTGGGTTGTCCACCAAAAATTAATAGAGGGCAAGTCTTCCAATGGGGACACTAGTTCTGGAGACCTGGGGGGGGTGGCGGGGGCCCAAGGGATTTCTTCTTGCTTCTTGTTTCGGCTATGAGACAGGAAGTGAAGGTAAATCTCATCAATGGGACACAGATGGAAAAAAAAAAAAAAAACAACTTGCAGGAGTTATAATCCTCTTAACTTTATCCGAAATGGAAAAAATGTTTTGCCTATAGTTCTGCTTAATTTGGTGAATTCTGTTTGCTGCAAAACACAAAGACTAAGATTGGCCATACATGGGGTAAATTCCAAACAATTTTTCTTTCAAAATTGTAATTTTGAATTATCGTTTGAATTTCGACCATTAGTGGAGCTGCAGCAACGGCTGCTTTTCGTGCGGCTATCGAATTTGAGTGATCGGGTATGTTAATTATTTTAAAATGAATGGATTTCTAATTAATGATGGGAGAATTGTGTGAGAAATGGAATTTGAAAAAGAAATGCACATGAACTGTGACCTGGAAAGAAAATAAGATTCCCGGCCTCGACATCTCTGTAATACGAGGTGAAATTGAAGGCTTGGTTGGTCAAATTTCGAAATCGGTGGTGTCACCATCGGGTTACAAAACACACAAACTGTTTTTTTTTCGATCGACAAATCGTTCAGAATTTGACTCATGTATGGCCTGCATAACCCTAGATGTAACTGATTTAGTTTCACATTCTTGTACCCACATTTCAGTTTGTTAATATGTAAATTAATAGATATGATTTTCTCCACTTTAAAATATACATGTTTTTGTAGGAAACCTGAGCGGCATTCATTTCGAGCATATGCTGCTGTCCTTTATATTGATCCAAGGATGAGAATCTTCATCCATAACCACAAGGTTCAAACAAAACGGTTATCTTGTTGCCTTTACAAGCCTAGGTAAGCGTTATTAATGTTTAAGATTCTGCATATTAGATGAGACTGAACATAGCTGGAACATATGAATATATTTATATATAACCTGAGCTGGTTTTAGATATTCTGCACTGGAAATTCCACCACTGGAAATTAGCCCAGTGTGCACTGTGCAGGCAGAGCTTCATTATCTGTTTGTAAACTATATTCAGACACTGCCTGTCCTAATATTAAGTTAACCCTTTTGCCATCTGCAGTTTTTGTACATGTTTAAAAAAAATAAATATTTTAGCCCCGAAGGTTACAAAAAAAAAACCCCAAACAATATATATGTATTTTGATAGCAGACACCCTCGAGAATTAAATAGTAGTTCCAATTTTTTATGTTACACAATATTTTGTTTATATTGCAAAAAAAAAAAAAAAAAAGCGGTGATCAAATACCATCAAAAGAAAGCTCTATTTGTGTGAAAAAAAATGATAACCACTAAATTTAGGTACAGTATTGCATGCCCATGTAATTGCCATTTAAAGTAGCGCAGTGCCAAATGGCAAAAAATGGCCTGACATGAAGGGGGTAAAACCTTTAGAAGCTCAAGTGGTTAAAAGCTTTTAAGGGTCATCAGTTTAGAGTTACCCAGGAGTTCTGGTGCCAGAATTGTTGCTCTCAATGCGACGTGTGCAGCAATATGTAACATGTGTAGCGCAGTTGACTCTTTCGTGTGTAGGTGCCCCAAACTAATTTGTACATGCTTGTATGTACCTTTTTTTTTTTTACTTGGCATAACATCTGTTATATATTTTACCAAACAATTGAGCAGTATATTGTGTTTTTGCGCATTAAAACTAATTATTTTTTTTTTTTTTTTCTTTTAAATTGCGTTTGAATAACTGCTGCAGAAATATGCTACATAGATTATGTAACATCAACCATTTTAGTCTTCAGGGTCTCTGCTTTAAAAAAAAATAAATTAAAAAATATATATATATATATATATATATATATATATATATATATATATATATATAAAATAAATCTAATATGTTTGGGGGTGCTAAGTAGTTTTCTAGCAAAAAAGTATGATTTTTACATGTAGGAGAGAAGTGTCAGAGCAGGCCCTGTAGGCAAGTGGTTAAGGTAGAGGTGGACAAACTATGGGAGCCCGTATTCAGCTTCTTGGTCCAATGTAAAAAAGCTAGATTAGCTAGGGAATGTGTTTTTTTTTTTTTTTTTTCGATAGCTACAAAAAAAGTGCCAGCTGTCCTTTTCATGGGTACATTGGTTTCCAGTGATTCATTCTCAAAAGCTCATCATGTGTGTTTCACGATAAACTGAGTAGTCTATATAATGTTTCTATTGAATGCACAATTGTGAACAAATTTTTTTTTTACTTTTAGAATGTATAAGTATACATCAAATCGATTTAAAACACGGGCGGAGCAGGAGGTGAAGAAAGCAGAACATATGGCCAAAATTGGTAATGAGGGAAAGGGTGGTTGAATATATAAAGTATATGTAAAAACACAAACATACATTTTAGGGCTCATGCATACTGGGCTTAAAAAATAGTGTTTGTAAACCCACCTCTGTTAGCCTGAGTGTCCAGGCAAACATATGCGTTTACACATATTAGAGGAGCATTTACGGGTAGAAAAAAAAAAACATCACTGTTTGTCCAGGAAAGGAGCTTTTGGGCAAATAAAACTCTAAAGCTTCCTAAGGTTGCATTCACACTTGAGTGTTTTGTAGCTTGAAGCTAGAAGCTCCAAAAACACTCAAACTTAAAAAATAAATGATGCCTGGTTGCACAGTTAGGTGTGAACAGGCACCATAGAGAACAATTAGATTTTTTTAAGTTTTTGAGCGTTTTTGGAGCTTCAAGCTACAAAACGCTCAGGTGTGAATGTAGCCTAAACACTAGATGTGTTTAGCGCTTGACCGTTCATTCCATTTACCAGAATAAATTGATATTCTGGCCAAAGAAATCCATTAACGCTCAAATTCTTAACGTGCCTAACCTTGGTTTTAGACATGTTTTTTAAGCAGTTTTTTCTCCTGCCAGGAAAAAAGTTCAGGGGAGCTGAGCAAATGCTCATTGTGCATGAGGTCTTACTAGAATGCAGTTTTAGTTCAAATATGGGGTGGCTGTGTTAGTCTTCTGGATTTTTCTCTTACACCTGGTGATTTTGCCCATAAGAATTTCTCAGTACCGTATCTGTGGTGCAGCAGTGTCGTCACCCTAGGTTGCTGTCCTGATTTTGACTACAAACACTTTCCCTGCTTCTCTTCCTAATTACTTTTTGTCTGTTGATTTTTGTTTAAAGTGATATTAAACAAAAATGGTTTAATTTACAATGGCCTTCTATTTGTGTGTATGGATGATGGCACTGTAATTGTTTTAATTAAAAAAAATAAATAAAAAGCAACTAAGTACCCAGCTCTTCCCCAGCCCGTCTGCAGGGAAACATAAGCAGGAGGAGCTTCTAGTTCTCTGCTGCTGATCACATGATCCAAACCCCCCCCCCCCCCCCCCAAAAAAAAAATCCTTTGAAATATATATTATATATATATATATATATATATATATATATATATATATATATATTATATATAAAATCAAATCTTAATTATTTTGTGGAAATAAACTGTGTGACGGACCACCTGGCAACCCTCCTGGGTGCCTTCGTCATAGAGCTCCTTCCTCACCGCTGGAACACAGGACCAAGGTATTTTAGCTGGGAATTGCACTCAAGAACTAGATGATACTAGGTTAGGTACAAACATGAACTCCATTATTGAACAGAAATATAGGTTTTTATGCACTTCAAAAATAGGGGCAGTCACCACATGAACAATAATAACAAATGGTACACATTGAGGTAACAAGGTAAAGTTGACACAAGACTAATCACGCCAGGAGGATTAGAAGACAGAAATAATAGGTTACTTAATTACCTCAACAATGGGAGAAAGACTCAACAGTAAAAATTACACTTAACAAGCAGGAGACCCCAGCATCCGGTTGTTTTGAGCGGATAGTAGTCTTCTGTTTTGAGTCTGTCTTGGAGGGGGGGGTAGAAGCAGTCAATGCTGGTTTGGGCACAGAAACACTAAATTCATCACTGGGTCCTCAAGTTCTCAGAATCTGTGTGTTGTGCGGGGAGACATAGACTTGAATCTGAAGTAAAACTACTCCAAAAAGGTCCCCCAGGCACACACCTCCCAAAGAATAGAGCCCCTCAAACGCCAGAGTCCATAGTCAGTAGGTAAGAGGCTATCATGCAGTCTGCTCCAAAGACCCTGTCCCGGTTGGCTCTGTCACAACATAGTGTGGGCCGATTCCTGCCAGGCACAGGCTGTGTCCCGTTCCTCCAGTCTGTGTCTTAGAATAAGAGGGATATGAAGCAACCATTAATCTTCATGTACTATCCCACCCCCATTGTGTTTAGCTGGTCATTGGTCTTGGAGGAGAAGGAATTGAGTGGGCTGTCATTTACCACTGTGTATACACTCACATGTGTGACTTTATGGTCACATGGGCTGCTCAGATGTGATAGGAAATGCTTGACATAGAAACTCACTGAAAACTGAGCATGTGCAGAGTTGCCACTACAGCTGCAAAATCCCTAGCTAAATTGGGGGCATGAACAGAAGGTGGAGATAGAGAGCAGCAGGATCATCCAGGGTTTTTTTTTTTTTTTTTTTTTTTTTTTGCCGAATACAGTGACTGAGTATGACCAGCATATATTACAGCATTTATTGATCTTTTTTTATGATTTAGGTTTAGTGACACTAACAAAAGATAGTTGTGAAACCTGATAAGCTTCTTTGAGAGCATTGAATTTCTGGCAAGCTTAACAGCCATGTTTCTGTACGTGTAGAAAATATATTTAGCCTTAAAGAAAATGAATGCTTCCATCACATCTAAAGACTTGCAAGCTGCAATATATTCAATGTTTGTTGTTGGGTTTAAAATAATTTGTTGTTGGGTTTAAAATAATTGAAATAAAAAGTTGTCTTTACTAATCATGTTAAAGCGGAACCCCAGTCATATAACTGTTAATGTAACTATATTAATCAAAAGCCATAAAGAATATAAATCCTTGTATACCAAATACTTTTTCAAACCTACATATTACCTTGTAAGAATTAGTAGTGATAATTTATATGCATAGCCTGTGCTGTAGGAAGGGGGTTCAGTATGTTCTCCCAATGCAGGCTGCCTGCAGAAATCTAAAAGTATGATACAAGCTCAGTCATCCTGCACATGTAGAAAAGAGTAGCAGTGACTAGTCTTTTAGTACAGAAAAGTCCTTCACATAAGCAAAGCAAAGGAGTTTTGTGGTGGGCTGTTGCACAGATCTTGATCTTGAATGGATATATACAAGGTATAGAAAGATTTAAGTAAGACTATTCATACCATTTTGTATATAGAAATATTTTAGCTTTATCAAAATGTTTACACTTTTCAGACCACAACTCTGTACATTTCCCTGGACAAGCTGTCCAGGAGGTTGCTGAAATAGTCACTACAGCAATTGGTGTCCAACAAGGGAATCCGTAACTTGGAAGTATTTCTAAAGGGAAGAATAAGACACATTTTTGCTTATAGTCAAATGATTTATTTTTTTAAATTGCTTTTTGAATTGTATGTCTTCTAATGACCTAGCTATGCAACAAAATTACTAAGAATTTTGTTTCATGCATTCAGAATAGAGTTTTGAAATAGGCATTAAATTGCAGGTAAAACATACAAAATTTTCATTTGTTTTTTAGCGGAGGAAAAAGCACGGGAAGCAGAGAGCAAAGCACGAGCTATGGAGTCTCGACTTGGAGATGACTTGTCTCGGGAATCAAGGGTAAGGCATAGAGAATACTTTGTGCAGATCTGTTTAACCCCTTGCTACCGTGGACATAAGGCTTACTTTGGTGGCATGGGCTTTTAAACAGACTATCATTTACTGAAACTAGAGAGTGCACAATCTGGTGCAGCTCTTCATAGAAACCAGTAAGCTTCCAGTTTTTTTTTTTTTTTTTCTTTTCCAAAGCTTTGTATTACCAAACCCAAAACCTGCATTCAATATATCTGGTCTCCCACAGTACACAGAACATGGAAATGCAATTATTTTATCAGCAGTATATCGTATGCTTGTGACTTCTATCGGTGTCCAGCTGCGCACTTAGTAATCTTGTAGGAGGAGTTTTCATTCTCCCCCGATTGTCCTATGAGGCTGCATAACCCCTGACAGTGCTGATTGGCCCTGTGCTGATCACATGCACCATCCCCCCAAAAAATAACTCTCTAGCAATACAAACCAAACTGAGCATGTGCAGCTTGCCCCCAAAGCTCTGTTCTATCAGCAGATGGATTGGGAAACAGTAGAAGAAGGGGAAGAGCAGAAAAGACAGGATCAAACATCCGTTTTACACAATGCAGAGATTAACCCCTTAGGTTCCACAGTCAGTATAACAAGCATGCTTTACTGCATATACAGACTGATTCTACTGTTGTAGATGTAAGCATACATTTGTAGCATATGAAGTAGGTCTTTATATGTATGCTTACATTTATAGTTGTAAGTTTACATCGGTCAAACACACTGTTGGCTTTCAGGTGAAAGTGCTTCCACACCCCCTTGAAGGTGACGGATATAAACACAGTGTAATATGTCACTTCCGGCACAGCAAGGTCATTCCCCTTCTGCTGTGGCTGGTGATGTTGCTGATCAAGCACAGATTGGGCTCCATGTGTGACAGAGGTCTAAAAGACCCCTCATGCATATACATACTGTCCCCTAGGTGATAGCAATAAAGTTGTTAAAATCATCAATATAAACACACAACGCTGCCCTCTACTGGTGGACATTAGGCATTCCACATAATAAAATATATAGATGTAAATGATTAAATACAATTTCCACTCTAACCATATGAATAAACAAAATTACATAAGAATATAACTTATGCTTAGTGTCCAAAAACACATCTCTACTAGACTGTAATAAATATTAGTAAAGTTTTAAAATCAAAGTGCTTTGTGCACTCAACTCTCCAAAAGATGGTGTCATTATCACAGTGCGGTGCTCCCCTCCTTTGCTTCCCCACTCACCAATAGTTGACTCTACTGCAGGGCAATAGAAGTCAATATGTGCTTTAGTTGCAAGTATTCTGTGGCTGTGCTCTACTCTTCTCAATTCTCCAACGCTTCTCCACTTCAGTGGTGTACTCCGCAAGGTATACAGAAATGATATCATAATACCGCTTTATTGAATCATTAAAAATAATAAAATATCACTCACAATGTGAGTAATAAAATCAAGCCGAAAAACACATCCAAAGCATTTTTTAAAGCCCCCCGCCCCGTGTACAAGCACAAATGTAAACTCGTAGAGGTGTGCAAGTACCAACTAATATGGCGGTTGTCACATATTAGTATCCCCTCCATATTGAATGAAATTCAATGCTTTGGCGGCTTTAGCAATTTTCAAACTGAATCTTACTAAAACTGAGGCCCTGAATCTTTCTCTGCCACCGCCCACTCTCTCCATGCTTAGACAGAATTTTCACTTTTAAATGGCAATCCAAGGCAATCACATATTTGGGTACAACAATCTCTGCCTATTTACCAGACCACTATGCTCTCAATTTTAGTTCACTCCTTACCAAAATACATAGATCATTGGAGACATAGCGAGAACTTCCTGTACCTTGGTTCGGACGTATGAATATTTTGAAGATGAACATTTTGCCTTAGCTGCTATACCTATTCCAAACCATACCAATTCTATTACCTTCTGCTTTCTTTCGCACTCTCCATACTCTCACAATCCAATTTATCTGGCACCGACATCACTACAGCCAGTTAATCAAGCATCATGGTAAGTAGCTTCTATTGAAACATAAACTGTTGTGCCATCCTAAATCTGGGGGGGGGGGCGCCGATCTTCCAGATTTCGAAATTTATCACGCCTCTGCATTATTAGCCCATTTATTAGAATTGTTCCCCCGTCTGTTTACCAAGGCTTCTGTCGTCGTCTAACAAGATCTCTCCCCGGTGGATCTACTAGCACTGCCTTAGGGCTGCTCCAGCTCTTATTGCGCTTTCCCCCTTGACAGAAGCTGTGCTCAGGATTTGGTATCTTCGACGTGGATGTTATTCGCTGTCTTTGGATCCTAGTCCACTTACTTCCCTTTTTTGACAACCCCAAGATTCCTAATAGTAAACACACCCTTGTGTATGGCTCCTATGACAGATCCTCTTGGCCATTTGCATGCAGTTTTGTTAATCCCTCCACGGACTCCTTTGTGAATGCTATTGCCCATCTACCATCTTCTTTCAATTGGTTGATGAAGATCCACCTGTCGACATACTGTAAATTCCTTAATTCGTCTGGAAATATATATACATAGGTCCCTGTTGGCTTTTGAACATATGTGCCTTCTTTCAGAATTACCTGGCCATGTCCTCTCTAAAGTTTATAAATGAATAATCGCGCCCAACCACATAATTCCCTACCTACGTATTCTAGCGTATGGGTAGAGGAGATCTCCCCTAGTGAATGGCAGAGGGCATTTATTTTCACACACAAATCTTCTGTATCTAATTATATACAGGAAAAAATTATAAAGTGCTCTCTAGATGGTACCGGGATCTTGTTTTCCTTCGTCGCATCTTTCCCTCCACTTCAGATGTTTGTTGGCACTGTCTCAGGGAGAGAGGAATGTATTTATATGTATGGTGGGACTGTGATCTCATCAGCCCGCTCTGGTCTAAGATTTTTTAAATATATTTTGAAATGTATGATGACTCCCTCAGTCCATCTCGCAAAATCGCGTTATCCATACTACCTAGATCCATGAAATGATGAAAAACGAATCGTTTACGGTTTTTCCTTTCCTCAGCATGCCAACTTATTTCCAGATTTTGGAAAACTACAACTAGTCCTTCCCTATCTCTCTGGGTAGATATTTTGAATGATACTATGTTAATGGAAGAAATGCAGGCAGCAGAAATGGATTCGCAGGTGAAATTAAATTCGCGGGTGAAATTTAATTCTTTATGGTTCGTTTGGATCCGTTATTCCACCTCTGAGAATTTACGGAATAAACTTTAATCATTCCCACGGTTTTGGTTTCCCCTTAGCTATTGGGTAAAAGGAATTGAATTGGTAGGACTCATGCCAGCTTCCCTCTGTCCCTTTGTACCCCTGTACCCTTTTCTGCCTATGCTATTTTTATCTTTCTTTGAGCATTTCCCTGTTTAGCCTCACTTTCTTTCTTCCCTTAATTATATTGTTTTATCTCTTTTCCTTTTCTCTCTCTGGCCTATTTAAAAGTTATTTGGATTAACTGTCTGTAGATATGTTTTTGACATCCTTCTTGCTTACTGTGATACTGGATGGACTTGCTCTTCACGTTTATTATGTATGTCTATTTACATTTTGTATGTCTATTTACATCCGCCAACAACATCCTGTTCTTTCAGTAATGTAATGGCCATATTGACATTAGTATTCTTTGTGTCCACTTACGCATTTCACTTTTTCTTCATGCTTTTGTAGAAGTGAAAGAAAACCTTTAATAAAAATATATTCAATCTAAAATGGCGGTTGTGTTACACATATTAGGTACTGCCGTGCATGCCTTTTTTCAGGTTTGTAGCCTTTCAAAGAAGGTTTTCAGCCTTATTCTTGATGTACTGATCGATCTCTTGTTTATTGCTCCATAGAGGCTCATGCTTTGGTGCATCCCAAATAAAATTTACATCCTTTTTTTCCCCACAAATAGATCTTTTTTTCGGTGGTATTTGCCTGTGTGTTTTTAATTTTTTTTCTGCTTTAAACAAAAAAAGACCTACAATTTTGAGGGAAAAAAAACAATATTTTTTGACTTTTTGCTATTAAACATGTCCAGTAAAAAATGTTATAAATCAAATTTTGGCCAAAATGTATTGTGCTATATGTCTTTTCTAAAGATCCCAATACATGTAAATGAATTGGTTTAAATAAAAGTTATAGCGTTTACAAATGGCGGTATATATACTAATTTTTTAATTCTTTATTTTTTTTTTTACTAGTAATGGCAGCGATCAGCAACTTATAGCAGGACTGGGCGTTACTGACATCCCCAGTGACACCAATACAGTGATCAGTGCTAATAAAAAGCACTGACACTGTATTAATGGCACTGGGCAGGAAGGGGTTAACATGTGGAGCGATCAAAGGGTTAACTGTGTGCTGTTTCACTACTTTGGCTGTGTGTGTTCTTCACTGCTAAAATAAGCAAAAGTGAACAAGCGCAACTTAATACAACTTGATGCAGATTTGGATGAAACAGATAAAATAATATGGAGCTGCTAGCATAAAAGGTATACCTCGGCACCTCAGTAATAAATAAAATCTAAAAAATGCAGCGCTGAAATTATGATTGTGATAATGACCATCAAATGCAAACAGAATGTTCGAATGGATTATCCCTTCATAAAGCAAAAACTTGAAAGTCCTGTTGATGTAAAGTTTTCCAATATTGCAGAGGTCAAAGTGATGTGATATACTTCTGGCTACTCCGTGAGGTGATAGTACAATAATGCACTTACCAGAAGTGCATACAAACTGAGCGTTGTATGTAAATCCGTGGAGATTTCAGGGTCTGGTCACCGGAATGGCGTCATCTAGAGCTGCAGCAGACTCCCAGGCTTTATGAAGGGATAATCCATTCGAACATTCTGTTTGCATTTGATGGTCATTATCACAATCATAATTTCAGCACTGCATTTTTTTTACACTGCTTTGTATGGCTCTGCTATGCAGAGCCATATAAAGCAGTGTGCAGGAGCTGACAGGGGAGATATCTGTGTTTATACACAGTTCTCTCCCCCGTCAGAGATACTTGGCGATGACCGACCGGGACCCAGTGATTGACAGCCGAGGTTGCGAATGGTGGTGTGGGTAAGGCGCGTGTGCGCCCCCTAACTTCAAAATCCACTCTATATAGAGTTTGTGCACCTGTGCCACCCTGTAGGAGTATTTCCGCTATAGGGCGGCGTGGAACTGGTTAAAGTCTTGCTGCCATCACCATAGGCCTTCAGGTGGTGGCAGTAAAAGACTTAGCAAGCCTTGCCCAGTAACGCAATGGTTTTAAATTGTCTAAGATGATAAATGTTTAGGTATTATTATATGTCTTCTGTTGCTAATAATAGTAAAACCTCCTGGTCTGTATATTTTTCTTCCTTCCAGGCTGCTCTAAGACAAGTGCAGAATGCTGCAATTACAATCCGTCGGGAGGCAGATGTCAAGAAACGAATTAAGGAAGCTAAGCAAAGGTAATTATAGAAAATAAACACAGTAGGATGGTTATTTGGTCCAAATAATACACACATAATTGAGTTATTAAATTAATATGCTTTTTCCAGTTGAGACTTAAATTGTTGCAAAAATCAGAACAAGGTAAAAAAAAGATAAAATTAACCATTTGCTGACCGTGCTATAGCTGAATGACGGCTACAGTGCGGTCGTCCAGTCCTGGGAGGGCGGCTTTTGACGTCCTCCCTGCCTCCTGCGTGGCCGCTGTGGCACATACCCCATGCTCTCTGTGTTCGCCAATCACAGCGGCCCTTTACATCGTGATCAGCTGTGTCACTGGACACAGTTGCCTCTTATCTGCAGTACTTTCCACACGCTGTCACAGCGAGAGGAGAGCCGGCATTGTGAAAGGGGACATCTACACTGATAATCAGGGCACTGATTATCAGTGCTGCTAGCCAGTGGCCATTAGTGCTGCCAGTCAGTGCCTCCTACAGTGTCCATCAGTGCTGCCAGTCAATGCAGCCTCATCAGCGCACATCGGTGAAGGAAAAAAACTACCTGTTTGCTAAATTTTTTAGTAAACAAAAACATTTTTTTTTTTTTTCCTTCTAAATTTCTGCCTTTTTTTTTTTTAGTTTGTTTAGCAAAAAATAAAAACCCAGTTAAATACCATCAAAAGAAAGCTGTATTTGTGTGAAAAAAATGAATGATAAAAAATTTCCTATGGGTAGTGTTGCATGACTGTACAGTTATCATTCAAAGTGTGACAGTGCTGAAAGCTGACAATTGGCCTGGGCAGGAATGGTGTAAAAGTGTAGGCAAGTGGTTAATAGAAAAACACAAAATAAATAAAATTGGGTCAGTTCCCTTAAGTTGAACTGTTATTTGTTTTTTTATTACATGCTAATATTTTAGTATTAATAATTTTTTAGAAAGTATTTATTTCTTATTCATTGAGGGACACAGGAAGTCCTAAACCTTTGTGTTGTACTGCCTCTGTTCTGCCGCGAGACATGGGCTCTCCCAGGGTGTGAAATCTAAGTACCAGTTGGTCTTCAAGTGAGCTCCTGATGGTGAAGATGGGCCAGAAATCCTACTGGTCCCTGGAAGGGGGTAACAGGTACAGGAGGGCTACAGTGCAGAGACAGCAGACCTGAGTATGTTCAGGATTAAGCGACGGGCCTTGGCAGGGGGCAGGTAGAGAGTAGTCAGGGTCAGCAACAAAGAAGGCAGAAGACCAGGCAGGCATTTGAGATCAGCAACAGGCTTTGGTATTTAAGCTGTTGCTAACTGGTAACTGGTTTGAAGACACATCACCAACCACTGGAGCTTAAATACACTTTTGGTCGGACTTACCAAGCATCATTTCAGGGTTTTGGCAAGGAATCTGAGTACTGACAGGAATTCTTTAAGTCCTGGCACAGATTGTGGAAGTGCCATGACAGCCACAGTGTCATTTGTATTTATATATTACAAGTGGATAGTAATCCCCTTACCTATTTTTTATACTGCACATTTTGTATCCATATATATATGGTTTTTATGCACCACGACTGCAGAAAATGAACACTAGAAGGAACACTAGCACTGTGGAAACCCAAAAACACATATAGCCAAACAGCTGCAGGTAGTAGTAGACAATTGTAAATATTGACTCTGAGGTAATGATTAAAAGAAAAGTTCAACTTTTGGAACATGTTGTACGCGGCTGCATCATTCATTCACAGTTTCCTGTGAATTACTTCAACTACAAATACCGTCAGCTTGTAGTTCTGACTGGACTGTGGGGTAGCTGATGAGCAGCCTCATAGTTCATTCACAAGCCCTGCAGCTTGTAAACTGTCAGCCAGTGTGAGGGTACAGACTGAAAGCTGCAGGGCTTGTCTGCAGGAGTCTGGCATTGCACCACTGATCAGGGACACAATACTTTCCAGGCTACGTAGGAAAAATATAAATGCACATTTTTTTTTGCAAAAATATGTGCATTTAATATTTTCTTTTCACAAAAAAGGTGATTCTTTAACCACTTGCCCTCCAGTGGATTTACCCCCCTTCATGACCAGGCCATTTTTTGCGTTATGGCGCTGCGTTACTTTAACTGACAATTTTTTGTGCTATAAAAAAAAAAAGACCGACCGTTTTGAGAAAAAAAACTATATTTTGGACTTTTTGCTATTAAACGTGTCCAGTAAATGAAATTTAAAAAAATCAAAAATGGTTTATGTGAAAGCTATGGCGGTATATATACTGGGATTTTTTTTTTTTTTTTTTACTAGTAATGGTGGCGCTCAGTGACTAATAGCGGGGCTGCGGCGGGCATTCTGACACTGGGGGGAACTGACTTGGTGTCATTGACATCCCCAGTGACACCAATACAGCGATCATGCTGGGGAAAAAAAAAAAAGCACTGACACTGTACTAATGGCACTGGGCGATCAAAGGGTTAACTGTGTGCTGGGTATGTTTTACTATGGGGCGGTATCTGTGTGCTTCACTGTAAGCACACTGCTTTCGATGGCTGTGCAATGCACAGGATATCCTGTGAAAATACAGTACGCTTTAACACTCTGAAATGCATGTCAACGGATGTCAGTGTGCGACTAAAAGCCTCTGCTAATGTGAGCTTTGGCCGCAAGGTGCTTCAAGCTGTCATGTGAGAGTTTTGGGTCTGTTGACCCTGGTTTCATTGTGGGCCTGTTTGCAGTCGTTTGCTATATTGTTGCCCACCCCTCAATTTATAGCTTGGGGGTGCCCCACGGTCTACACAACCTGTGTTCTGCACTGTATGATTAAGTTAATGGAACTTTTGACTTGCCTGTAAATTTAGTATCTTGGTGTACAGTACATTGCACTGGTCCCTCCCCTCCTTTCTCAGTTTCTCTTCATTGCTTGCTGCAAAACCCATGAAGTGGGTGGTGTTATATTAGGGTGCACTGGGGGGTGTTCCCAACAAAGCTTATGCTAGTGTTCATTCATCTGAAGGTAGCGGCATACAACCCATGGTCTATGACTACACATCCTGTGTCCTGTAATATACTCCAAGATGTGGAATTAACAGTGACAGTAACAGTGAGTGAAAACTCCTATTATTTCTGGCTTAAAGTCCCCACATGTATGCAGCCTTAAAAGGGTGAAGGAGATTTGGAGCATGAATCAAATAAAACTGTACAAAAACAATCTAGAATTATTCAGATCTTAAACATTACTCTCGCAGTATATTTAAAAGTTCTGCAAATATTCCCTCTAACTAATGACTTTTGTTCTTAAGCTTCATCATGATTATATATTCTGCTGCTTCATAAAAGTCCACACTGCTGTCTTGGTAACAGATGATAAAAACTATTCTTGGCATTACACATGACTACTCTTGGCTCTGCTAAATTGTCTAATGTTTTCTGGTGTAGATTTTCATTGTTCGGTCAAATACAATCTGCCTAGCTACTAAGATTTTCTATTCCTTCCATTCCATTTTTTTTTTCCGTTAGTCCTTGTTTCTGTTGGTATTTAGACTACTGCAGTACATATGCTGTGCTTGTGATGCAGTTAACCAATAAGATCCACTGTTTTCTGCAGTTAACCAATACAATAGCATTTATTGAGCAGTACCCTTTCCCCTACAGGTTGTTTTTAGTAAGTATACCATTCCTTCTACAAGGATAAAAAAAAATGTGCTCTTCAAATTGGCTTTGGCTAGTGCTTTTACCAATTCTTATCTTTTTTTTCTTTCCACAAAATTATGGAATAATGTTCCTTATTGCCATATTTTCTCTATGTGGGAAATACAAGCCCATATTTTTGCTCACAAGGTAGTAATCCACTGTATAATCCAGTATTCAACAGAAGTTCAAACTATCACCTGGATTCAGTTAGGACATGGTTAGGTTGGATGTTTGTAGGGATTTGGTAACACCCTTGCTCTGATACATAGTGCAGCTGATCACTTAAAGCAGTATTAAACCAAAAGCAAAACATTTTATTATATTGCAGCTTACCAATTTTTAGATGTGATGGCTGTTTAGTTTTTTCTTTTTTTTAGGCTTTCTTTCCTTTATTTTCACCTGGTGATCTGGACAGTAAGTTTATTATTTTCAACAGAACAAGCTATCCTGGACATGTATCCGTTAAGAGGGATGATACAAAACATTTACCATTGACAGGGGTGCAGACAGTGATCAGCATTTATTTATTCATGTAATACCTTTTATCCAAAAGATAAATTGTTGGTGTAACTGCAGTGTGAGCTGGAATCTGCCTTCAATTTGTTAATGTATCTAAACCTGCTAGTGCATCTAACACTTCCCTGCCCCCAGGCTGACAATGCTGCTGTCCAGAGGTGACCCCTGTACTCCTTCATCCAGAGTGGAGGCACTCTAATACAGGTGTTACTGACCAAATCGCCAGGTGAAAACGGGGGGAAAAAAAAGAAAATGCAGCCACCACATTTAATGATTGGTAAGCTGCAATATAATAAATTTTTGGTTTTGGGTTTAATACCACTATCTGAATTAAAGGACAAGCTCACCTTTTGAAAAAAAATAATAAATGCACGTTGTTTTTTTTTTTTTTTGCAGGTAAGGTTTTTGCATGTTTTTTTTATGCAGCCTGCAGAGCATTGCACCAGCTATCAGCAGATCGCAGGTGCAATCCCAGGCTCTTGCAGACTCTCAGCATAGCTGTCTACCCATGCGAAGTATGGCAGTTACCTGACAGCAGGAAGCTGGATGGACTGCGAGAGTGCTCACCAGCACCCTTGCAGTTCATTGAGAAGCCACAGCTGCAATGGCCGATGGTACTTGTAGGCATTCTTTCACAGGAAACTGTAAGTGAATGACACAGCCGTGTTGGCGGAGCCCCGCTTAAGCATGTTATTTTCAAATTTTGACAGCAGGCACGAGCAGAAGGTCCGCCCCCCCCCACTCACAGTGAGGTGAGTTTAGAGGGGAAAGGCTGCAGAGGCTGGAATATGTAACATGTTCCGCCCTAAAACCAGGTGGAACATGTAATATGTTCTGAAGGGAAACTTATCCTTTAAACTTTGTGGATAGTAGTTTCACGATTGGTCTTGTAATGTAATTTGTTTCTTCTTATCAATGTGTATTTCAGAGATATACTTGTATATTTTATGCTATTACTTGTATATTTTATCCTGTAGGGCCCTAAAAGAACCCAAGGAGCTGAACTTTATATTTGGTGTGAATATTGAACAGCGGGAGTTGGATGGCATGTTTGTGTACAACTGCAGTCGGTTAATTAAAATGTATGAGAAAGTTGGCCCTCAGCTGGAGGGAGGAGCGTAAGTACCAACCAACGTTTTTCATTTGAAAGGAAGTTACACTTCTGAATTACCACACCTTTGGGTTAATCCACAAGCTTGCTGGTCTCTTAACACACCACAGTAGATTTAGCCAACAGTAATAAACGTGATATCAACAATTCTGCTCATAGAGTCTGCAATCTCAGATTCCCCAGCAGCTGGCTGTGCAGATGAATTCTAAAGTCTCAGTTCAGCTCAGTAAGTAGATCATGTTGGTGCCTTATATATTATATATACAGTATTTTATTATGTATTTGTGATCCCTATATATATATAAATGCTCATTTTTTTTGTTTTTGCAGGTAAGGTTTTTGCAGGTTTTTTTTGTAAGGCGCCTCTAGAGCATTGCACCAGCGATCAGCAGATATCGCAGGTGCAATCTCAGGCTCCTGCAGACTCTCAGCGTAGCTCTGTGTGTGTGTGTGTGTGTGTGTGTGTGTGTGTGTGTGTGTGTGTGTGTATATATATATATATATATATATATATATATATATATATATATATAAAAATACATACAATAAGCGCTTGATAATAGGGTTTACGCTATGTTGATAAAACACAGCTCGGCTGTTTAACCCTTAAGTGAGCATTGGTTTTCTGTGAGCCATTTTTAACTGGGAATTTTCTTTTTAGAAGATTTCAAGTGATTTTTTAAATGATCTTAAACTGCTTCAGAACACTTGTGCTCAGTTAGTTGCAGTCTTGTCATAGTAAGTATAAAGCCCTGTACATACAGGCTGAAAATGGTCCGTTTCAGCAGAAACCTGAACGACTAACTATAGCCTTCAGTCAAACAGCCTGCATTTGATTAGTGCTTGCAGCCAATAGCTACGAGCGCTGATCAGTGTATTCTGGCGGGGGGGAAAAGGGCAGACACTCAGGAGACCCCCTGTCAGAATACAATATCTCAGCAAGGGAGATCCCTGCACCACACGTTGTTCATTCAACCCCCTGGTTGAATGAGGAAAGAAGCTGTTTAAGTGGCTTCAATTAAGCCAGTCCACATAAGAAAACACATAATGGAAGACCGCATGTAATATATATTTTGTAGAAGTCAAAGAATAAAGAAATATGATAGCTGTGAGCAATGTATTTCTTCTATTACAATTATAAGTTATGGTGCATTCCTTTTCTAGGGCCTGTGGAGGAGTATTAGGAGTAGTTGATGTCCCCTATCTTGTCCTGGAACCTACACACAACAAACAGGATTTTGCAGATGCAAAGGAGTACAAACACCTTTTGAAAGCTATGGGGGAGCACTTGGCACAGTATTGGAAAGACATTGGTATAGGTGAGTTGTTTACAAATACTAAGGTAAAAAATTACAATGTTCTTTGTAGAAGTAGTGTGCTACAACTGGTACGTTATTTTATGGCCCTGTTCACACTGACATAAGAAGCAAGCTTTGAGGTGTTTTTGCAGCTCCTTGAATGCCTTGTAAACCAGCCTGCAATGGATAATATTGACAAAGGAGAGTGTTGTTCACGTTTAAACAAACATGTAGCGTTTGCGTCACAGCACTTTGCATCGCTGTACGGCAAAAAGGAAGCTAGTTGTCAAGTCTGGAAGAAGTTGAAGCTTGCCAGCTCTTTCATGTCTACAAGCGTTAACCACTTGCCCTCCAGAGTATTTACCCCCTTCCTGTTCATGTTAGTTGTTCATTACCATAGACAGAAATTGCAGCAATAGCTGGTTGAAGAGCTGGTCCTGCAAGTGCAAGTGAAAATACAATCTTTAAGATCATCTAAAACTTCCAATGTGCAGAAACTTTTGTTGAAAGGTTATCTTCAAAAAGCACAGTGAGATGTTTACTACTGGGACATACCACCTTTTTGTGAACTCTTTTCCATTGGATATAGTTCAGCAGTGATTTTCGGAGGGGGTGAAAATTTACTTTACTGACCAGGCCATTTTTTGCGTTACGGCGCTGTGTTACTTTAACTTACAATTGTGTGGTCGTGCAAGGATGCACCCAAATGAAATATTTACGTTCTTTTTTTTCCCATGAATAGAGCTTTCTTTTGGGTGGTATTTTTGTTTTTTGCACTACTAAAAAAAAAAAAAAAAAAAAAAAAAATACTGACAATTTTGAGAAAAAAAGAAAACAATATTTGACTTTTTGCTATCAAACATGTCCAGTGAGAAAAATTTAAAATCTAATTTCGTCATAAATTTACGCCAAAATGTATTCTGCTACATGTTTTGCTAAAAAAAAAAAAAAAAAAAAACAAAACCCAATACGTGTAAATTTAATTTGTTTACGTGAAAGTTACAACGTTTACAAATGGCGGGGTATATATACTGGGCTTTTTTTAAATGTTTTATTTTTACTAGTAATGGCGGTGATCAGCGACTTATAGCGGGACTGCGGCGCACATTCTGACACTGGGGGAGCTGACTTGGTGCCACTGACATCCCCAGTGACACCAAGGTGCTCAATCTTGTGCTTGCTTTGTTGCGCTTCCAGTACATCAATATTGTGGGATATCTAGACTAACTCCTTTTGAGAGAGCAGTCAGCATCGGTTCTTACGGACAATGTGATGCAGACAGTTTAGAACCTTGAAAAGGTTCGGTTGGATACTTTAATTCTAGCGATGAACTGCCACCAATGCTGCCTTCTGGTGGTTATCTGGATTTTTTCTTCCCTAGGGAAACGTCTAACTCTCCTGTCCCAGACTCTAATTCTATTGCCCAATTGTCACTCAATTCTTTGTTTCTGCATGAGAGTCCTAGGATTGAGGGTCACCTCATTGGAAGAGTCTCATTTGCCCAGTTTCATTCCAGACCATTTACAACTCCACATCCTGTCACTGTGGAACAATTTGTTCAGTCTCCAGACAAACTGATTTGACTGACAACCGAGGACCAGGTTATCTCTGGACTGGAGACTCTGCAATCTAATTTTGTGATTGAGAAAAAAAACCTTTCTATGATCTCTTGGAAGATTCTCTCAACAGATGTCAGCCAGATGGGTCTTAGCCTAGGTTCGCATATATGTGTTGTAAAATAGCTCAGTTTTGTAGTGCGATTCAGGAAACAGGAACTCATTCAATTTCACTTGTCGTGCAAACTAAAAACGCATCACAAAACACATGTGTGAACCAAGGCTTAGACTAATTTTTGCAGGAGACCTGCCTGAAGAAGCCCATAATTTAGTTACCTCTACAACATTGAACACCCTGACTAGAGAGCCATCCAATCAGGATCAAGTCAGACAACATCACAGCAGTAGCATACATCAACCATCAGGGGGGAATTAGAAGTCTTGCAAAATAGGTGGGCAATAATTCACATTCATTAGACACTTGGCAGACAGACTTACCCAGCTGTCAGCACCTGGATCTGAGGCAACAGGCCCTACACCATATGCATCCTGGAGCTCTGTCATTGTAGGGGAGGCTCCTGGCCTTCTGGTTCAACAACAAACTGGACTCCATGGGATTTGAAATTGGTTCTCTTGGCACTTCAGAAACTTTCTTTTAAACCTATCAGTAGTAACCCCTTTTCCATTTTTACAAAGATGATTTTCTTGTTGCCATGACCTCTTTGGGGCATGTGTCTGAGTTTGTGGCTTTGTACTGCTAAAAATACATTTTGGATCTTACAAGTGACAAGGAGATGTTTAGACCCAGAGCCTTCTTTCTTCCTAAGGTGGTTTTGGGTTTTACCCTCAACCAGGACATTGTGTCTATTGTGTCTCTGGATTTTGAGAGAACAGTTTCATACATAACTTACGCTACTTTATAAAACATACAGTGCCGGGACGAGGTCATTTTGCGCCCAGGGCGAAGATGCCCAAACCGTGTCTCACAAACACCCCTTCACCCCCAGGTGGGGTAAATTGTGATGCGTGCAGCACGTCTCACGAAAACAATGTAACATAGTTTATTATCGGTACACATTCTATCCTGCAATTAGATATGAGGTTGCTTTGAGCCCTGCTTCTCTACAACGGATGGGTTGCACTGACTTATTTTGTATTTTCTTGCTTTCTGTATTTGGATATTGTTGCCTCACTGTACTGCTTTGTATTGCTTGTTTGCTGCTGTTATCGTACTAAGCTGGATGTAAAAAAAAAAAAAAAAAAAAAAAAAAAAAAAAAAAATGAGGCTAACAGTGATGTAGAAAGAAATACCATAGCATTAGTGTGAGGTGAAAAAATTCCCCTGCGTTGGTGGTGTCACTGGAAGGAAAAAATGTCCCAGTGTCTGTGGTGTCACTAATAGGAAAAATGTGGTGTGAGTCTAAGAAGGACTGATTTGGTGGTGGTATGACAGGGAGGGGAGCTTGGAGGGTGGGGGATTGGTGTGTTGCATTTATCCAGGGGGCCCTGTGTAGCGGAGGGAGTAATGCTTTATTCATGTGCAATGCACATGATTTCGTCATGGTAGTACAGCAGTACTACCTCCTTACAACAGGGTCCCCAGAGTTCCCCCTTACATCAGCCCCTTCTTATGTCAGGGTCCCCAGAGTCACCCTCACACATCATAGTCCCCAGTGCCCCCCCTTACATTAGTTCTCCCCTTTCATTAGGGTCACCAGAGTTCCTCCTTTACGTCAGAGTCCTCCTCTTTCATTAAGGTCCCCAAAGTCCTCCCCTTACATCAGGGTCCCCAGAGTTCCCCCCCCCCTTTACATCAGTGTCCCCAGAGTTCCCCCCTTACATCAGTGTCCCTCTATCATTAGGGTCAGCAAAGTTCTCCCTCTTACCTCGGGGACCCCAGAGTGCCCCCCCCCCCCCCCTCCTTAAATCAGGGTTACCAGATTGCCCCTTCCTTAAATCAAGGTCACCAGATTGCCCCCTCCTTAAATCAGGGTCACCAGATTGCCCCCTTAGAGCAGAGTCCCCAGAGATCCTCCCTACATCATGGTCCATTCCTTCTCCATGCAGCTTCATGACATATGAGGAAGCAGGGGTACTGGGTCCGGGCAGGTTTGGAGGAGGAAGTTCTGTTTTTTTTCCTCCTACTCTTAAGGCCAGGGCCTAGGAACGAGGCAAGCATCTGATTGGTTGTTGTGATGCCGGCTGTCCTAGCATCCAACCACTAGCATTCACAGGGTAGGCAGTGGCCCGGTGGGGGGGGGGGGTGACTGCTATCAGCTAGCAAATTTTCACTGACATCCACGCTGTTGCTGAGTAACGCAGTCGCAGCAGCAGGGACACTGAATGGCCATTTGTAAATGGATGCCCCTAATTTATGCTGTTGGTAGCAGTCTGGCCACTGTGACAGCAGTGATTTGATGGAGCAGTGCATGGTGCAGCTTGCAATCTGGCACCCCCCTCCTGCCTCAAGACTGCACCCATGGCAACTGCCTCTCCTGCCCCTTCCTCGTCCCAGCCCTGATAACATTCATAACGTATACATAACTTTTTCCTAAGCAAAAATCTGATTTACTGAGAGGACTGGCTTGTCTATTTAATGGCTGTACTAGGAATGTTCTAGTATAGTATGAGCAAGAGTCTTCATCCAGTATACCAGACAACCAGGTGCACAGGGGGAAGGGAATTGTTATAGAGTAGTAGTTTGTATGCTGACTACATGCTTTCACAACTCAGAGATCACCAGACATCCCCAAGTCCTTCTGTGGTTGGGTACATATTATGCAGTTAGAGGTAGCCATACATTCCATTTTATGCAAGCAGACAGGGTATAGATAGGCTTGTTGAATGATATATAATTGAATCAGCTTATTATTGACCACAGATGAAACCAGCATATGTGCACAGCAGATATCATCCTGTTCCTCCATAGGCATAGTTGGCATTACTTTTTACCATTTAATCTTAACAGCCAGTGGGGTTTTACCAGCTTTAGTGTGCAACAAGTGGCAATAAAGACATTGCAAAAAAGAAAAGCCACTCACAAGACCACCACATTCGTCCACTCCAGCCGCAAGGGTCTGCTCCTCAGAGGTCAGTTCCTTCCACATCACAACACACAATTCCGGAGCTACACACCACTTCCAAGGGTAAAAGTTACTTTATTATACAGATACTCCACCTCTCACCAGTGCATTTGGCCCCTCCTACTGTGGCTTCACCGTAGAGCTCAGCAAATAAGCCCCAGTAAGGGGCAAAATATATTAGAGAGAGGCCTCTGGATTAAATGGGAATAAAGGTATAACCTTTTGGGACTTTGTGATTTGAAAAACCTCTATTAGGGGATAAATAGAGACGTGTTTATGGTTTCTTAACTGTGCCTCTAAGTTCAGGCACAATTGTAGAATCCTATTGAAGAAACCAAGAGGCATTTCATGTAAAGGACCGATATTGTGCAACAATGCTGCGCTAGTACAAGGTTAAAGTATATAAATCAACCATATAATCTTGGATGTGTTGCAAGTGATAGTGGCTTTCCACCAATAAAAAATGAAATATGCTTAATTTCTGTGATTAAACAATGAGTCATTAATCAGTTCATTCACTTGTAAATACGTGTCAAGGGTAAGTGAACATAAACTCTTCTATCACAAATTTTTTGAATCCCACGGTGTAGATTAAAGAGGAAATCTACCACCAAAGGAAGGCAGAAGATGTATGTGCAGGTTCCTAGTTAGATTTGATACAGAGTGCAGGAAGTAGCTGCTGTAGATCATGGCTGCCTGAGGGAGTAATTGGCTGTCTTTGGCTGCATTACTTTCTGATTTCCAATCCAAGAATCTGTCCTAGGCAACTGAAGTCAGAACTCCTGATCTGTATACTTGTTCCAGATTACTGACTTAGAAAGCACTGAAGCCCAAGTGGTTAGCATGACAGCCAGGGACCCAGCATTTCCATAATTAAAGGGCTTGACACCACTAGAAAGTTGCTTTGCTATTCTAATATTTATGTCAGTAGTTGCGGTGATATTGTTCATAGTAGAAGCATATTCTATGTGCAACAAAATCCCTGAAGCCAAAAAAATGTAGTCATCTGTGTGAATGCTAGCGCTCCAATAATTACTACATCATGTGGGAATTTGGATTCCTAGGAGTACTATGTTTGCAGACTTCACTGCTTCCGTTTGTCTTCATTGGAGCAAGTGTTAACCACAAGTTGCTGATACTGGCTTTTAAAAGGGGAAAAGGCGTGTGTGACCTTTTTATTTAAAAGTCCATAATTGAAGGTAGGGTACATCTTTTGTTTTCCTTTGGTGGAGTTCCTCTTTGACTCACACCTTGATATTCATTTTAAAGATTTTCTGTTCACTGACCTTTCACACGGATTTACATGTGAATGAACTGATTTTTAGTGACCCATTATTTTATCACAGAAATGAATAATTTAACATATTTAATTTTTTATTTATTTTTTGTGTGGAAAGCCATTATATCGTTTGCAACACTTCAAGGACTGAATGGTTAATTTATACACTTAATCTTGTATTAGCACGGCATTGTTGCACTATATTGGTTGTTGGACACTTTTAATACTGCAGCTTATTGTTTATTAAGTACTTTAACTTGTTTTGCGCGAGTGCAAAAAGCCTTTTGATTTATCTCATGTAAAGCGTAACACCATTCCCTCTTAGTATACATCTGAGAGAATGAAAATGGTGTGAGATTTTCACAAGGCAGTGTCAGGATTTGTGTAAAGCTGTTCCGATAGAGGTTGGTACCTTAGGCTAAATTGTCTGGGTCCCTAAAAAAAGATTAAAGCCAGACATAGATGAATCGAAGCATGCCCGGTTCAACAGGCAGGCTGGTTGTACTGAAGTCAATCCATTGATCAACTTCATTAAACTCAGGCTCTCTGATTTTTTTTTTTTTTTTTATGTTTTTTTGGCCTGAGATCATTGTGGGCGACTATACCCACCAACAGTGATTGTGTTCTGCCAGCAGGGAAGGCCCCTGTGGGAGGGATTCCCCCATCAACACTCACTATATTGAAGGGGGAATCAATCAGTTTTCTTTCCTAGCAGATAGAAGGGAAGAAAATTGTATAATCTATGGCTTGCTTAGGTGTTTAACTTTAGTCCACACTGACATGACCAGTTTTAGAATGGGAAACTGAAACCTTTTGTTTTCATTCATACAAGATATTGATTTGTTTTGTAGTACACATGCATACATTTTTAATACAACTGTCTATTTTTTTTTTTTTTTTTTTTAACCCCATAGCTGAGAAAGGAATTGCAAAATTCTGGGATGAATTTGGTTATATATCGGCAAACTGGAATCAACCCCCATCGTCAGAGTTAAGGTATAAAAGAAGACGAGCAATGGAGATCCCAACCACTATTCAGTGTGGTAAGGAGCATGTTATGAAATGTGTTCTCTACTGGTAGCAAGGAATAATTAGTAACATTATAAGTCATTATCCTACTACATGCTTTACAGCATGATAAAGCACATTTAATTCTGCCTTTTTTTTTTTTTTTTTTTTTTTTGCATTTTCTAACATTTCTAAATCTTTGCAATAACAGCAAATTGTGCACATTTGAATGGGGCTTGTTCCCCTGGGGGCATGACTAAGGGAATTTTTAGTAATGAGGCGTCTTCTGTAACATTACGTATACTCTCCTACTCTCCTATATTTGCATGAAGCTACGTGAACATTGCAGTGTTATCAGCCATGTTTGCACAAAGGTGAATACACAGTCAGATACTTATGAGTACATAAATGTACCTGCCTAGCGGAGTTGATCATTTAGACTTGGTTTCCCTTTTCTATTCCTTACATACTTTGAGCCTCAAACATAAACTAATAGGGGTGTGTTCAATACAAAAGTAAATCACTAGTTTCTGTTCTTAAAAATTCTGCTTTTTTTTTTTTTTTTTTGCAGATCTGTGTTTAAAGTGGCGAACGCTTCCGTTCCAGCTGAGTGCTGTGAATAAAGAATATCCTAATACATGGGTCTGCCGTATGAATTCTGATGTAGAACAGGATAAGTATGTACATACCCAATCCATTCTTAGTATATAGAAGTGAAATTGCATACAAAGGCACTACATGATAAATCTGATGATACAGTGGAAAGGTTTTCCTAATACTGTAAGACTCCGTTCACATGGATGGCAAGCGAACAGTATAAATTAGAAGCTGATTTGCTCACCTACAAGCGGACATTGTGCCACTCTGATTAGTACACATGGCTGCAATGTTTTGCAATTTTAAGGTGACATGTCGAGTTTGAGAGATGACACCCCTTGTCAAAATCTCCCATGAAAGTGAAATGGACTGTTGTTCCCTCAATGCAAAATCCCCATTTAGCAGTTAAAGTGAAAAAAACAGCAAAAAAAAAAACACTACCAAAAAACATTTTTGTAATTCTAGTGATGCTCACAGGAGAATTGGATACGGACAAACAAACAAAAAATCTTCCTACCCCTCTGACTGGCACTGTAATAAACATGACTGGTAAAAAAAATAGAAGTCAAAACTCCACCCCCTCATTGCTTCTTTCAAATCAGCCAAAATTTGCTCAAGGACAGTCAGATTTGTAGACTTCCCTGAACAGTCTTTTGTCCCAGGAGTAATTGTGCCAGTACCCCTACAGGACAGGTTGAATGGATTCCAGTCAAACCTGTTTTAGATACCAAAGCTTAACTAGGGTAATCATCCTATCAGGGACCTAAAACCACTAAACAAATACCTTTTTATATTCCACAATTTTGCAAGGAATCCACTAAGTCAGCTATTGCCTGAGCTGAACAAAATACTTGGCATCTGTAGATATCCAGGTTGCCTATCTGGATAAATAGGAATATATTTATCCAACTCATCTGCACTGTGTGCTTTGCAGTAGGAAACAACTCCTTACAATTTGTCACACTGACATTGGGCCTATCCTCTGCCCACCCCCACAAACCACAAACTGGCCTTTCTACAATCAGTACTTAACCTCTTATGTCTGCATTGCTCTCCCTTGTCAAAACCATTATTCAAAGCGTACCTTTGATCAGGCCTCCCTTTACAGTACCTTGCTGTTCCTTGGGACCTCACTCTGGTTCTTTCTGCCCTGCAGAAACCACCCTTTGAAGCCATCAGAGGGGTCTCTTTAGATGATCTCTCCTGCAAAGTGGCCTTCTTAGTTGCTGTCATGTCTGTCAGATGTATCTTTTAGTTAGTGGCTCTCTCCTCTAAGAAGCTATTCTACATAAAGACAAGGTCTTATGCCTAAAACCATCTTTTTTTTTTTTTCTTTTTTTTCCTAAGGGTATTGATCTTCCACCTCACTGCCTTTTTTGTGACCTTCTCCAAAGCACTCAAAAGAAATTACTCTTGATTACCTGGACGTAGTCAAAGCCATTAGAGACTACCCCAAAGCAATAGCCTTTATCAGACTTCTTATTAGTCTTACCCTCAGGACCTCGTAAATGATATCTTCCTTCCAAGTCAATCATTGCTAGATGGATAAGGCATCTCATCACCAGAGCTTACACTAATAAAGGACAAAGTTTCTCCTGTGCTTTTACACACCCGTTCCGTCAGTGCGTGTTTCTTGGGCATTGCGGCACGGGTTATCTGTTGCCCATCTTTGTAAGGCCTAAACCTCTGCTCCTATCCTTTCAAAGTTGAACCAGTGGACATCCAATCATCTGCGGGAGTAGCTTTTGACTGCAAGGTTCTTGCTGCAGCACTCTGAAGTTGGGTCAGTTGACCCTTGTTGATTGTCCTGTTGGCGCAGTTCTACTTACCTAGTTGATACTCACCCTTCTCATAGATTGCTTGAGGACTTCTCGGTTTTCATAAATCAGTCTGATAAGAGGAATTTTGACTTACCTGTAAATTCAATTTCTTGCAGTACAGTACAGGATGAGTATGATTCGCTGTAAATGTATTCTTTTCTTCAAAATATTATTTAAAAAAACCCTCCTTTTAATGTCCCTGGAAACCTCTGTCTAAAGTTTTGGTGCATTAGATTGTGGCATAGCCAGAGTATTTAAAACCCTTGACAGATCATCTTTAACACCTCCCTTCCCTGACATATTGATCAAAATAGATACAGACTAAAATTTTGTAGTATCCTTGTAAACTAATAAGTGTAGTTCTCCCTATTATTTGTGGTCTGTGAAAGCAGGAGATCAGTTTACCGTGGTTTACTGCTCAAGGAACACCTGCTAGAGAAACCCTAGGTGAGAGGGGTTTTAATGTACATTATTATACACTGCTTAACCACGTACTTATAATCTCAGCCAAACCTAGCAACAAGCTCTGAAATCCCTACTGTGCCAATATAGAAGTTTTTTTGGGTAACCTATCGTTATGGTTTGCTGTTGTGGGAGGAAACCCCACAAACTCAAGGAGCGTGTAGAATTTTAGTTGTGTAGAATTTTTTGGGCAATTTTTAGTGTTGAAGGTGCAGTGAGGAAAAGTTAGCTAGTTAGTAAGAAACCTGTTCTGTTGCAGGTGTGAAGCTCCTGAGTTAAAACAAAAACTTCCTATTGGAGTCCTTAAAAAAGAAGTTGTGACACAAGAGGAGAAGAAAAAGCATCTGAGCGAGAAGATCAAACTTCAGCAGGAGAAGCTGGAAGCACTAGAGGTGATGACTACTTACCTTTACCGTAACAATTGTTGAATTTAACTCTTACAGATATTTTGGCAGTGTCCACAGTACTTTATGAAATGTTTTTATATCGATGTAAAAAAATACAAAACCCCACTCCAGGCTACGGTTAATTTACCCATGCAGTGGGGTCCATCCCCCCAGCATTGTATGTGTTAAATGCTTATTTGGCTAGTGGAGATAGGGATAACTAAAATTACTTACCTTATTCACACTACCCTGACAGCCAGCACTCTCCTCTGCTGTCCTCCATTCTGGAATGTAGGTGGGCCCTCGTCACCCTTCTCACATACAATGCAGCGCTGTTGCATTGTATATGATGACGTCCGAGAGCTGCAGCTGGTCAGGCAGTAAAGTGAAGTGATTTCTGAGAACCAGTCGCTCAAAGAGGAGAGCGCCTGCTGGAATGAGAAATAAGACATATCACCTTATTTCTACCTCTCCTAGCCAAACGGTCATCTTACCCCATTATATGGGTAAATGTAAAAGTAGGCCAGAGTGAAGCTTTAAAGGGATTTTCAACATCAAGGCTATTCAATGAAATACACCTTTTATCTTATAAGCGCTTATGCTCCCACTGATTAGCTCTTTTCAGTCCTCCTGCAAGTAGATCTAAACCTGCATCTTAGAGTCTGCTTGGCATTTCTAAGAGTCTTGAAAACTATTTTGGTGGGATTCCAAGACTAAAAATTGCTCTGTACTTGGAAGATCCAGGCAGCTTTAGTCACTGTAGGAGCATTTTATGGTAAGTGGGATTACATCTGGTGCAAACCTCAGACATCTATAGCGTCGAGAGGTTTTCAATTAGTGTTGCTAAACTCGGGACCCTGGATTTACTAGATCTGATCTCCAACAGTACACAGAGCAAGGAGATGAAATTATTTTAGTAAATCTAAACTGCTAAATACCTTTTCTCATCAGCAGTTAGCTGATCAGCAGAGCACTGGTTAAAGCTTGTAGGAGGAGTTTTCTCTAGGAGGATGCAGAACCCCTGACCTCTGCCTGGGCAGTGCCTATTGGCCCTGTGCTGATCACTTGCACTCTCCCAAGAAAAAAAAAAAAAAAAAATCTTTCTGGCAATACACACCAAATTGAGCATGTGCAGTGTCTCCACGTATGTCTTACTGGAGATAAGGAGGACACTAAAAGAAGTGGAGGAACAGAGAAGTCAGGATCAAACAGCCTTTTTACACAATACAGAGGATTAACCCCTTAGGTTCCACAGTGAGTATAACAAGCATGCTTTACTGCATATACAGACTGATTTTACTGTTGTGGGTTTAGTAACACTTTAATGCTGAAAAAATTGGGTAATATATTGTTTATGTGCCCTAAATTCCACTTAAGTAAATTGTTTACTGAAATGTTGAGTTCTTAAACTGTTGCACTAATGTGTAACATAAAAATTGCCACTATTTTATTCTTTGGGTGTTTGCTTTCAGAAATTATCTATTTATTTATTTTTCTCTTATGATTTTTTTGACCAATAGTCCCCTATGTGATAGCATATAAGTGACCGGTCCTCTTTGTAAGGGGGGGATGGGGGTGCAGTGTGTGCAAAGAGGGGGCAGGAGAGGAGCAGTGTATACAGAGAGGCTCCCTCACTAGCTGTCACTATGTCAGTGCCGGTTTTTAAATGTAATTACCGGCTTTTTTTTTTTTTTCTTTGCTGTCACTTTCCCTGGAGCAAAAAAGAAACAAATTGTCAGGGTCACTGGGTAATGTCACTGGGTGACCCTGCCTCTGTTTCTTTTAGCCCTGCGAAAATTACAGCTCCTTCTCTGAGCTATTGTGAAGAAAAAAGCCATCAATTGCATTTAAAAACCATGCCGTTTTTTAAATGTAATTACCTGCTTTGTTTTCCTTTACTATAGCTCAGAGAAGGAGCTGTCATTCTTGGAGGGCTAAAAGAAACAGAAGCAGGGTCACCCAGTGACTGTGAAGAAAAAAAGCTGCAAATTACATTTAAAAACTGGCATTGACATCTGCAGTACACATATTTGCTATCGGCAAAATGGCAATAGGGCTATTTTCGGCCTATATGTTTCAGAGGCCGAAATTTCGTTGCATCCCTAATATCTGACAATCGAGCAATCCTGATATACTGACGGCCTATCTAATTTCTTGAGGCCTGAAAACGCCAGCATAGTACAAATACCCCCAAAATGATCCATTTTTGGAAAATAGACAGTCCATGGTATTTAGTAAGAGGCATTTTGAGATTTTTTGAAGTTGTATTTTTTTTTTTACAATTTTTTTTGGATATGGATTTGGATATGGAAATAATAATTTAATTTATTCGATTATTTTTTTCCAACACAGTGACTAAAGCAATACAGTGTTACCATAGTAACATTGAACTACTCTGGGCAAGTGATCATGTTTTTTTGTTTTTTTTTTTTACAATACACATTATGATTGCTAATACCAATGTATTTGATTGATATTTGCAACCATTGTTACTGAATGAAACAAATTCATTCCGTCTTTTGTTGTGATTAGCTGTGATTGGTTGCAGATGGGCTGTGATTGGCCCTGTTTGTACCATGTGACTGCTTTAACCAATCACAGCTAACAGAATTGTAAACAATGGATGGCATGACAGGAAGCCATCCATTGTTTGCAATTGACGTGATCTGCTGTGATTGGCCACAGTGGTCACATGACACTGGCAATGTGGAGGTGTAGTAATCTGTCATCAGCTGTGTCCTGTGGACACAGCCGGTGACATATCATTCTGCTGCATGGCCCCGTGACCGCATGAGCGGCTCCTTTTGACAAGATGTCACATGACGCCCGCTCAGGAGTGTCCCGCCCGACTGTCAGTCTGCTATAGGCCAGGCGTGAAAGTATTAAAATTCACTATTCCCAGGAGGCTAAGAAAACTCATCCTAAGAGCTTGCACTCTAAATGATAAGACACCTCTAGCACTCTTAGGTGTTCATTCCACTAGACTAGTGGGTGATTCCTGGGTTTTCTGAATTAAAGTCTGTTGCCCAGCTTTGCACGGCCACCACCTATTCTTAGGTTTTATACCGTCTCCAAGTTCTGCCATGTGGTCATCCAAGCTTCTGTGACTGCAGGTTGGGTCTGCAGCACCCCAAGTTGGGTCTGTTGACCCTCGTTATTGTTCGGCTTCTTGGCACAGTTTGTTTGGCTTGTTGCCCACTGTTCTTCATACATTGGGGATGTCCCAGGGTCTATAAATATCTATCCTCTGTCCTGTATTGTACAGGTAAGAAAAATGTTGACTTGGCTGCAAATTTCCTATCTTGGGGTACAGTACAGGACGCAGCCCCCTACATTCCCCCCCCCCCCATCTTTTTCTGTGTTATTCTGCATTGCTTGAATAAAAGAAAATCTGCTCTCTCCTGCAGTGAGGTAGGGTTATAGAGGTACACCCAAGGGGGCCTGTACTGCAAATCTCTGAGTAGCCAATTATCTGTACCAGCCTATAAAGTAGGGTCTGTAAATATCCATGTATAAAAGATAGTTATTAAGAGGTTGTAAAATGATTTATCATGTCACCCAATATTTGGTCTCCATTCAGTAGCCAAAAGAGGCATTCAAAAAAGGGGGATTTGTGAAAAGAAATTCACAGAGAAAGCGGCTACATTATGAACAGAACGTGACACTCAGAAAAAATTTCCAAAAATTATGCTTTATTACACATATATATAAATATGACATATGGGCGTTCGCCCTGGTTTTACCATCACCTCAGTATGAGACAATACACACAGACCTAAAACCATATAAAATGACATCAAGACCGGTCTAAATACATGTGCAACAGAAAAAATGACTGCAAGAGTCTAATGTCCCTGTAGCACAAACACATAGGTGAACACTTCCCAAAAAAGGTGTATCCAAAAATTATACCATAGGCATACCATAATGTTAAATATTATATGTAGAACAATACCATTATGGTGAATCCCAATCAGGGAATCCAAAAATTGTACTATGGAAAAATCTCACATATATACAATGCAGCAAGCACAATAGGCGTCAAGAAGAGAACAACAAGCCTCAGGCCTGTATGGGGGGAGACATAAATGTCAAATATGTGATGCAATTCATTCCTGTGCCGGCACAAGTGGTTGGGGCCCATTCATCTGTAATATAAACAGCTGTATCCTAGAGCTCTTGAATGAAATAATGCCCCATTTATTCCCAGGGTGGAAGAAAAGATGCAAAAAGCAGCACTCTGCTAGAAATGGTATCTTCACCACTATATGTGGACTACACACCACCTTTCGTAGGGAAAACAGGACATATCCCAAAAGATCTTCTGCCCGTTGAGATATATATGGTATATCCTGTATCCTATACAAAGCACCATGATGTCCCCATCCTGTAGTGAGATAAATGATATGTGGGAAGTCACTGACAGAGTATACACTCAATAAGATATATAGGTCATATAGATCACAGAGGACCATATATCTAATGTCCTGTAACAGTCCACTCACCACCTGTGCTGTGGGTATTAGGAATGAAAAAGATGTCCTTCATGGGTACTGCCATACACGGCCACAGAGGCCTAGGAACCACCGCTGACATCCGCCGATATACCGCGGGTTCCAGCCCCTTCTTGGCGCTTGTGCTGCTCACACACTTGCCTCATGGCATATGAAGATGGCTTCCTCCTTATGGGTCAGCGTGCGTTCCACCTAATGCGCATGACCGGAAGTGACGTATCTGACGTATGATACGTCACTTCCGGTCATGCGCATTAGGTGGAACGCACGCTGACCCATAAGGAGGAAGCCATCTTCATATGCCATGAGGCAAGTGTGAGCAGCACAAGCGCCAAGAAGGGGCTGGAACCCGCGGTATATCGGCGGATGTCAGCGGTGGTTCCTAGGCCTCTGTGGCCGTGTATGGCAGTACCCATGAAGGACATCTTTTTCATTCCTAATACCCACAGCACAGGTGGTGAGTGGACTGTTACAGGACATTAGATATATGGTCCTCTGTGATCTATATGACCTATATATCTTATTGAGTGTATACTCTGTCAGTGACTTCCCACATATCATTTATCTCACTACAGGATGGGGACATCATGGTGCTTTGTATAGGATACAGGATATACCATATATATCTCAACGGGCAGAAGATCTTTTGGGATATGTCCTGTTTTCCCTACGGAAGGTGGTGTGTAGTCCACATATAGTGGTGAAGATACCATTTCTAGCAGAGTGCTGCTTTTTGCATCTTTTCTTCCACCCTGGGAATAAATGGGGCATTATTTCATTCAAGAGCTCTAGGATACAGCTGTTTATATTACAGATGAATGGGCCCCAACCACTTGTGCCGGCACAGGAATGAATTGCATCATATATTTGACATTTATGTCTCCCCCCATACAGGCCTGAGGCTTGTTGTTCTCTTCTTGACGCCTATTGTGCTTGCTGCATTGTATATATGTGAGATTTTTCCATAGTACAATTTTTGGATTCCCTGATTGGGATTCACCATAATGGTATTGTTCTACATATAATATTTAACATTATGGTATGCCTATGGTATAATTTTTGGATACACCTTTTTTGGGAAGTGTTCACCTATGTGTTTGTGCTACAGGGACATTAGACTCTTGCAGTCATTTTTTCTGTTGCACATGTATTTAGACCGGTCTTGATGTCATTTTATATGGTTTTAGGTCTGTGTGTATTGTCTCATACTGAGGGTGATGGTAAACCAGGGCGAACGCCCATATGTCATATGTTTATTTATATATGTGTAATAAAGCATAATTTTTGGAAATTTTTTCTGAGTGTCACGTTCTGTTCATAATGTAGCCGCTTTCTCTGTGAATTTCTTTTCACAAACCCCCCTTTTTCTGTAAATATCCAGCCTTTGTCCTGTACTATATATATATATATATATATATATATATATATATATATTATATTTTGCAAGATATGGAATTTAGAGGTATGTACAATTCCCCTTATTTGTCTTCATGATCACTATCTTTCAGCTGTGTGATTGTTTGGCTTAGAGAATTGAAGCTATTTCTTCAGTTACAGAGTATTACTAATGTGTTCTACTTTTGAATTTGAACTACAGAAAATATCAACGGTGCGTTCAAGTGCAGACATAAAGAAGCTTCCTTTGGAGATTAGCACACGTCCATCAGAGGTTAGTAACTTTTGAGTAGTTCTCTTTTGATATCTGCTTTATTCACTTAACTCTCAACCAGGTTTCATATTTTTGTGCAGCCACCTGTGCCGTCAAGCCGTTCACTAAGACCAAAATCACCACCTCTTCCAGCAGTATTGAAAGAAGTTAAACCACCTCCAACTCCATCACCACGAATCAGCAATGCAGTAAAGAAAACTGATTCATTACGAGTGCAAAACAGTGAAAGAGCCAGCACATCAAGAGCTCACTCCCAACCTACTGCCATCAAAACTAACAACACTACTAAAAACATCAGCAAAATAGTACCAACTGTGAAATCCTCACCATCCATATCAAAACCTAGTTTTCTGCAACCTACTCGCTCTTCAAAACCCACACTACTGTCCTCACCAAACTTGAAATCTTCCAAGTTCGTTCCAGCAAAGAAACCTGTTAGAAGTAAAAGCCCTGTGGTAAGGCAGCCACTACTTCTCTTCTACCTTCATGTACCTCTTGGGCACTTTAATTTAGAAAAGGCTGTATTAACTTCCATTCACAAATGTTCCCATTAAAGGGCCCAGTAGAGTGCTTGAGTATATAATAATGCCAACATAGCCTGTCTAAATTAGCCATACACTTTGGTTATCAGGAATAAAGTATTTTTATCCTTTACTATAATATATTTGGTTTTTGGAAAGTCTGTGAGTGTTTTCTAAGTGTTCCTCATGTTGATAAACTGAATCCATCTCCTGAGCCTGTTGACAAAATATGCTGTTTTTCTGAATGTAGATTACCAGTGTGAGAAAGAGAACCTCCCAACAGATAGTAGTTGAAGAAGACGAGGAGGAGGAAGATATTGTCTCAACCCCTAAACCTGAGAAGCCAAAACGATCAAAGCCAGCGGACATGAAAGAGCTGAATGAAGTAGAGGTGAAGGTAAGAAGTATTTGCATGTCTATTCCCACTAATCCATGTAAGCTTACAGACTGATTTTATAGAATGTCCTTGTTCTGCAGTAGAAAACTTTGCTTTTCTTTGCTCAATTAGTGATGTTGCTGAACCTGCTGCAGTCTTTTCTTCAATCCATCATTGCATTGAAAGGTTGCACTTTTCAAGGCAAATAGACTGTGCACTTTGTTAGTGTAGTTGCATTTTTTTTTTTTTTTTTTTTTTTCCCCCAGAATGTGGTAAAGCTTCACTTTGTAAAGAATACCCAATCAGTTGCTAGAAAAAAAAAGCAGCATTTTTGCTTGCTTGTGATTGGATGATTAGAGCTTCACCACATTCACCAAGTTCTAGGGAAAAGGAGTGCAACTGCACTTGAAAAGTGCAGTCTGTTTGCCTTTTAATACATCATTCTTTTAGTCTCTTAACTGTCATTACAGGATACAGGAGCTTAGTCTTAGAGGACTGGGTTATGCATCTGACTTCAGGTGATTCAACACAAGCAAATAAAGCTCTGAAAGGGCAACTGGTGTAACCCCTCTCACTTCCAGCAAGCCTCTTTTTTGTGTATGGACTACTCCTTTCTGCCCTGAAAGAAGCAAACCTTCTCATATCCACTACAGCTACCATTTAACTGGGCAGCGGGTTTTACTAGCTGATGCTTTGCCTAATGGCTCTGGAGAATGTCGGGGGGAGGGGGTCTGTAGTACCTTCTCTAACATTTCTGATTCTGACCACTGGCAGCAATCTGAGTCGCTACCCTCTTCAGAGGCCTCTCTAGCTCCTTCTGGAAACCCCTTCATCCTTCTGTCTTTCCAGAGCTGAATTCTGAGTCACTGTGTTTGATTTTATGATATTGATTATAAAAGTTCTCTGTTCCATTAGAGGCCTCAAATTACAGGAGGTTCCTCGTCTGGCTGAGATGAATCTGCACAGGAGGATACCCAATTTGCTTATATTTGTCTCAAGCTGAGGTAGACTATTTTTTTTTTTTTTCTCATTAACGCGGAGTGCCTGTGTTTTTCTATGGAACAGTCTGTATCCTGTACGGTGACTGGCCTCATCCTGAGAAAATCTTTGTCCTTCCCAAGTGCTTTGCTCAACAATACCATATTTAGGGGAGGGATTCCTGAAGAGCAGGATGGTCCCTGTTGTAGATCCAGCCATTTCCTGCCTTATCAGAACCCTTACTCTCTCTATTGAGGATGTCCTGATGTTCAAGGACCCTGTGAATAAGAGGTTAGAAGCCCTCTTTAATGCATGGTTTTCCATGCCAGGTCCTGCTATCAAAACAAAAATCAGGGAGCGTCCAGAACAAAAAAATTGTACAAGCTGTAAATGCACCGATAAAGGAACCCTAAAGCCTTACAAATAATCTAGAAAAACAGTGCAGCACTAAGAAATTACCTATAAATTAATGAAATATGAATGTGTAATATAATCAATAACAGATCAATTCATCAAAATTAAATAAAATATAAAATAAATTAAATAGTGATATATCATATAAGTGAATAAAGTGCTATGTTAGGAGCCAAACAAACGTGAGATCGTGTACAGTCTTTTAATAACAACAAAAAAAAAGTGTTCATAAATTAGTGAAGGCTTGACTCAATCAGGTCAGCATATAGTGCTCCATAAAGCCCTAATGACATCCAAAAATACGTGTGACTTAATCCGTGCGAAAGACTGTAAGAAATGCGCACTCACCAGATGCGCATAATTAATACGCAATATACTAATGAGGAATCTGTAGGAAACCCTTTTTTATATGGATCTGCCAGACAGCATGGAACCAGGATCCCTCCTCTGGAAACAAGCCTCCTCTGCAGACACGCTTCCACTGGGGTCCTGGGAATCCTTAGCTCAACTTTGTCCAAGAGGCTGCTGGGAAAATACATCCTATGGCAGCCTTCAGCTTCTCTCACACTGTGACACAGCGACATCTGGAGAATTCTGTGGTCCTGCTATGCAATGTGCCATTTCTACCATGTTGGTCTGTTGGACTCCAGCTGTTTGGTCCAAGGACATGGCTCAAGACCCTGGGTTCATTCTTATGTATCCATCTGTCATCCATCAGTTGGAGTTCTTGCAAATTGCCATATGCTATGTGGATGAGTTAGATGATAATCTCCACCAAATTTCCAAGATGGGCCTCTGTGGGCGTGCAGCAATATCAGCAAATTGACTTAACTCTGCTTGCTTTCAAGGTATCCCCATTGTGGGATAGCTGAACAGCTCTGGGACTTACCCACAACTTGGAGTATCTGGGCTTGATTCTGGATAAAGCCCAGTCCATGTTTTTACCTCCCTATGCACAAGCTCTTGGCATTTTGCTCCCAAGTTCAGGCTTTATGGTCCAGGAGATGTTTAACCATTCGTTTTTGCATGACAGTGTTGGGCTTTCAAGTCTTGAGCTGGGATTCAGGAAGTAGGTTTTCTGAATGTCTTGAAAGGTGCTTACGATAGACGCTAGCCTGTTGGGTAGGTTGGAGTCCTGGTGACCCTTTCGGTACAGGGGGCTTTGTTGCTAGTGGATACACAGCTCCCAATGAACACCTTGGAACTCAGGTTGATTTTGTTATTCCTTCCAACACTGAAATTCTCACCAGGGAGACTCCTCACACAGGATTCACTTGGACAATGACACAGCAGTGGCTTACATTCACCATCATGGGGGCACAAGAAGTTACTCAAATAAAAGCGGACCTCATGGTAGCTTGGGCATAACAATACGTTCTAGCCCGGTTCGTAGTTCACATTCCAGGTGTAGAAAATTGCAGGCAGACATTTCTGATTTATTAGCATCTGGTTTTAGAGGAATGGTCTCTTCACCTAGAAGTGTTTAACCACTTGCCTACTAAGCACTTTTACCCCCTTCCTACCCAGGCCAATTTTCAGATTTCAGTGCTGTCGCACTTTGAATGACAATTGCGTGGTCATGCAATACTGTACCCTTATGAAATTTGTACCATTTTTTTTACACAAATAGAGCTTTTTTTGGTGGTATTAAATCACCAATGAGTGTTTTACTTTTTGTTAAACGAAAAAAAAAAAAGACCACAAATTTTGGAGAAAAAAAAAACAAAAAATGTTTTCTTTGTTTCTATTATAATATTTTGCAAAAAAAGGTAATTCTTTTCCTTCACTGATGTGCATTGATGAGGCTGCACTGATGGGCAGCACTGAAGGGAACTGATGGGTGGCACTGAAGGGTACTGGGCGACGCTAAAGGGCATTGATGAGGCACTGACAGGCGGCACTGCTGGGCACAGACTGTTAGCACTGCTGGGCAATCATGGACATATTTGGGGCTGCTCTGATAATCTGTACCCGGATTATCAATGTAAAGGTCTCCTTTCACACTTGCTGGTTATCCGCTGTATTTTTCCTCATGCTGTGATGGAGCCCTCCCAGAACTGGAGGACTGCGCTGTAGCTGTCATTCAGCTAAAGCTCGGTCAGCAAGTGGGTGAAGACCTTTGTCGCAGGTGGGAGACATCACACGTTCATCTTCTGACATCCAGGTTTAATGACAAGCTGAACAAGTTTGTCAGCAAGATCAGGAACCCTCAGAGGTTTGCAATGAATGCCCTGGTGATCTACACCTTTTCAACACTGAAGCTTCTTCCTCATCTATTTCTCATGTTCGAGGGGGAGAGCGTTCGGGTAATTTGAAAAACGCACCTAACTGGCCCAGGACAAAGTGGAACCTCGACCATGCTACAATCCTGCCAGACTCTCCATGAGGCCTACAGATCAGGCAGATCTTCTGTTTCAGGGGTCAGTCTTTCATTCTGCTTCAGTCTCCGGCTTTAATGGCATGGTTGTTGAAGCCCAAGTCCTGAGGGACATGGATCGCACAAACTCAGTCATCCTTATTCTCCTGAAAGCTAGGAAATCGACTTCTCAAAGTCTATCATAACATCTGGAAGGCCTACAGCTTCTTTTAGACAGATTCACTTTGTCATTCCTGATGGAATGTCATGGACTGGGGTTTGCTGGGATTGCGAAGGGCTGTTCTAGTACTGTCCTTACAGCTTTGTTTGCCAGTGTCCATTCACCTGAAGGTAGCTGTATAACTTGGTCATCTATGACTAAGATCATGTTTCCCATAATGTACTCCAAGAAAAAGATTTTACAGAAGTGAAAAATCCGATTATTTAGGTTACATGTGCGCTATAATCAATGTACATGGCACATCTTTTTCATTAGGTAGCAAAGCAGTTGAGATGCGTGAGAGGAATAAAAAATAAAAAGGTCATCAAAATACAAATGCCATCAAAGAAATAGATTTTCCAATATACACAAAAATGGTATTTTTGCAAACGTTGCCTCAAAAATAGGTGGGTAACAGCAGAATACAGGCAAATCATGTGCCAAACCAATCAAATTTGGCTGCTTATTAAATTTTTCCATCAGTTGAGGCAATAACAAGCTTGTGGTTTTCTAGATCTAAGCCTAAGCCCCCAGTCACATTGGGTATGATTTAGCATGCGATTTGTATGCCATGCGACTTGCAAATTGTATGCCAAGTCGCAACCTATTGTCTGCTATTAGAGCGGTCGTATCGGTGTGGTTCCGCACCGATTTCAAAAGTAGTACATGCAGTACTTTTGGTGCAATTTGCATAGACATCTGTGTCAGATGTCTTGCAAATCGCACCTGAAATTGGCGGTTCCCCCGACTTTGAAATCGTGCGACTTCACTGTAAGTCGCACGATTTCAAAATCGGGCTTGATGCGAACGGAGGGTAAACGAGAGGCCAGGAGTGCACTTAAAAACAGTGGAACGTGCAAAGAGATGACCCTGAGTCTTATAGATGCCCATTTAGATCACTAGATGTTATGTCCTTTCCCTGCGTGAACTTGAAAAAATTATTCTACAGTAAGGACAAAATTTCTGTGTTCTTCTAAGAAAAAGATTGATCAGTCACATGAAGATATTCCAGTATGTCCAAAATGCTTTGTGCTACTGTGGACTACACTGCTTTTCTTCATGCTGCCACCCTTTGTGATTTATGTGTCTTGTGGTAAATATTTTCCTTCTCAAAAGCCAGTATTGCCTTTTCAACTTGTGTGACTTTTCTCAGCAGGCTAAAGCTTCAATATCTGACTCTCACGTATCATTAGAACCTTTGAAGCGGACAGACAGTCCAGATGCAGATGTCCTTGTGTCTACTAAAGCTGCACAGAAAGGTGAATAAGCAAAGTGTGGCGTGAGTAATGCATAAAGATTTCATTGCTAATGTTTCTTTACAGTAACTACACACAAGAAACTTGCTTAAAGCAAATATGTAGTGTTTGTATTCAATCTTTATTGTGCTTTGGAGTGAAAATAACAGTTCTTCGTTTTTGTTGTTGGATAAGTATGTAATATTGAATTCACATGTTCAGACATTTCTCAGCTGCACTTTTGCCTAGGCCAACTTTTTATCTATTTCACAGACCTGTGTAGCTATAAGCCAAACCAGCCAGCCAGTGGAGGTGCAAGCTCTTGCCAGGCAGCAATTTCTGTTCCTAGACCCACCCCCTTGTTACACCATCAATATTAACCAGTAATCAGAAACCATGATCCCCTCCCAGACATAACGCTTCCTAGTCAAACACAGTCAGCCTCAGTTTGTTTTTTGCTAGTGTCTTAGGTGATGGTCAAATCTATGCAGTCTCTGCATGCTTTTAAGTTTTCAGCTAGTTTTTGTCAAGACTCTGAGTAGGGACCGGAGATGGAATCCAGATCTGTTGCCCACAACCTCAGGCCAAAAGTAAAGGAACACGGAGTAAACTTGCGGAGACATTCTGTAATGTTGTCTTCTGCGTTAGACCCTGCATAGCAGGTGCTTGTGAAATCCTTTAATTGCCTGTCAGCCCACTATTGATGTACCCTGGGAAAAGTGGAGAAATGTAGTGTTTTCACATGCTGCCTTGGAGTCTGCTCTCATCCTGCTGCACTTTGGACTTTTATATGTTTGCCATGTGTCTCCTCTCGTGGACACTGCAGGAGGTGTGATCCATAGTCTTTTGATACCATTGATGGGCCAGTGCATGCTCTCTGTTTTCTTCTCAGTGTATGGGAGGCTAGGACACATGAACAGTATGGTGGCATCATCGTTTGAGGCGCAGTCATTTTATTTTTCTCCCCAGGTTACAGATATAACACCTTCTTGGGGCAGTTATTTTTGCTGATGCTAATATTATTGCCCCTCTCAGCTGACTGTGGACTGTTCTCACAGCTGGAGCCCACATATTGTCAGCAATCTATGTCTCAAACAGTGGCAGAGAGGTGGAGGAATCTAGTTAATGCTCCCCTTGCAACATCTCCTGTGTCAGTTAAGGTCAGTTAGTTTTGTATGGTCTAATTCACTTGCTGCTTTTTTTTTTTTTGTTACTCCATCCTGCATACCTTCCCCCAGTTTTGTGTCATTGGAGAAATGTTCAATGGCATAGGTTTCAAACAAAAATGCTGTCCACCTCCCTTCCCTTTTCACTTAAAGCAGTGGTTCTCAACCTTTCTAACGCCGCGACCCCTTAATACAGTTCCTCATGTTGTGGTGACCCCCAACCATAAAATTATTTTCGTTGCTACTTCAGAACTGTAATTTTGCAGTGGGAGGAATAGTGCCCCATCATTGGTATCAGTGGGAGGAATAGTGTCCCATCGTTGGTATCAGTGGGAGGAATAGTGCCCCATCACTGATGTCAGTGGGAGGAATAGTGTCCCATCGTTGGTATCAGTGGGAGGAATAGTGTCCCGCCATTGGTGTCAGTGGGAGGAATAGTGCCCCATCATTGGTATCAGTGGGAGGAATAGTGCCCCATCATTGGTATCAGTGGGAGGACTAGCGCCCCATCACTGATGTCAGTGGGAGGAATAGTGTCCCATCGTTGGTATCAGTGGGAGGAATAGTGCCCCATCATTGGTGTCAGTGGGAGGAATAGTGCCCCATCGTTGGTGTCAGTGGGGGGGAATAGTGCTCCATCATTGGTGTCAGTGGGAGGAATAGTGTCCCATCATTGGTGTCAGTGGGAGGAATAGTGCCCCATCATTGGTGTCAGTGGGAGGAATAGTGCCCCATCATTGGTGTCAGTGGGAGGAATAGTGCCCCATCATTGGTGTCAGTGGGAGGAATAGTGCCCCATCATTGGTATCAGTGGGAGGAATAGTGCCCCATCATTGGTGTCAGTGGGGGGAGGAATAGTGCCCCATCGTTGGTGTCAGTGGGGGGAGGAATAGTGCCCCATCGTTGGTGTCAGTGGGGGGAGGAATAGTGCCTATCATTGGTGTCAGTGGGAGGAATAGTGCCTATCATTGATGTCAGTGGGGGGAGGAATAGTGCCCCATCGTTGGTGTCAGTGGGGGGAGGAATAGTGCCCCGTCGTTGGTGTCAGTGGGGGGAGGAATAGTGCCCCGTCGTTGGTGTCAGTGGGGGGAGGAATAGTGTCCCGTCGTTGGTGTCAGTGGGGGGAGGAATAGTGTCCCGTCGTTGGTGTCAGTGGGGGGAGGAATAGTGCCCCGTCGTTGGTGTCAGTGGGGGGAGGAATAGTGCCCCGTCGTTGGTGTCAGTGGGGGGAGGAATAGGGCCCCGTCGTTGGTGTCAGTGGGGGGAGGAATAGGGCCCCGTCGTTGGTGTCAGTGGGGGGAGGAATAGTGCCCCGTCGTTGGTGTCAGTGGGGGGGGAGGAATAGTGCCCCATCGTTGGTGTCAGTGGGGGGAGGAATAGTGCCCCATCGTTGGTGTCAGTGGGGGGAGGAATAGTGCCCCATCGTTGGTGTCAAAGGGGGGAGGAATAGTGCCCCATCGTTGTTGTCAGTGGGGGGAGGAATAGTGCCCCATCGTTGGTGTCAGTGGGGGGAGGAATAGTGCCCCATCGTTGGTGTCAGTGGGGGGAGGAATAGTGCCCCATCGTTGGTGTCAGTGGGGGGAGGAATAGTGCCCCATCGTTGGTGTCAGTGGGGGGAGGAATAGTGCCCCATCGTTGGTGTCAGTGGGGGGAGGAATCGTGCCCCATCGTTTGGTGTCAGTGGGGGGGAGGAATAGTGCCCCATCGTTGGTGTCAGTGGGGGGAGGAATAGTGCCCCATCGTTGGTGTCAGTGGGGGGAGGAATAGTGCCTATCATTGGTGTCAGTGGGGGGAGGAATAGTGCCCCATCGTTGGTGTCAGTGGGGGGAGGAATAGTGCCCCATCGTTGGTATTAGTGACACAAATGATGGGGCACTATTCCTCCCACTGACACCAATGATACTTACCTTGCTGACCCCTGCTCCAGCCTGGGCTCGCTCTCTCCCTCTCCCATCTACAGCCTGCAGAAGCAAAATTTGCACTTACCTGTCAGCTGTCTTCCTTCTCTGGCCTCTCTCCTCTTCACTCGGTCCTGCAGCTCCCTCGATCTTCTTCGATCTGCGCGCTCTGCCGCTCGGCTCCTCCTCTCCAAGCTCCACCTCCTCGCCGGTGATTGGCCGCCTGTGTGCCTCTCCTGAGCTACAGTTCCGGTGGCCAATCAGCGGCGAGGAGGCGGAGCTGTTGAGTGATCCCGGAGGTGTGGCCAGGTTACAGGGGCAGCATATCATCCCGCCCACAGATCGCGAGACAGAGCAGCGGTGTCTCGGTTCCTAAGACCATCGGAAATATGTTTTCCGATGGTCTTAGGCGACCCCTGGGAAATGGTCGTTCGACCCCCAAAGGGGTCGCGACCCCCAGGTTGAGAACCGCTGACTTAAAGGATGTGTTGTATGCAGTTTGGGCTCACCCTGAATACGGTGTTTCTCCCACCAAAGAGGTTTAAGCCTGGCACACACTACAAGTTTTTTTTTCATTCAGCCTAGTGGGATGAATGAAAAAAAACGTGGCAGCTCACACGAACTAAATAATATTAACTGTTTTGGGTTATTTTTACCCCAAAAATGTAGGAGAATACATTTTTTCCTAAATGTATGAATAAAAATTATCTATTTGCAAAATTTTATAACAAAAAATTATATATTTTTTTTTCCAAAAAGTGGGGTATTTTTTCATTTATATAGCAAACAGAAAAAATCCAGTGGTGATCAAATACCACCAAAAGAAAGCTCTGTCTCAGAAAAGGATAAATATTTAATATGGGTACAGTGATGCATGACTGAGTAATTGTCACTCAGTGTGATAGCGCTGAAAATTGGCCTGGACTGGAAGGGGGTGAAAGTGTCCGGACTTAAAGTGATTAAATACCTTCTTCAGCTCTGTGTATACAAAGAAAAATGGGAGAGCCCAAGTCCTAATGGGGGTAGTATTGACATAGCCCCAAATGATCCACAATGGCTTAAAATTGATATGGTGCAGAAACATTTATAGTGATTGATTCATACTCTTAGACAAAATAAAGGTGACTAAAGCACCTGGACTAGATGGCCTACACTCAAGGGTCCTCAAAGAGTTTCATTGCTAGAAGAACCCTAGTGACTGAACATGATTAACCCTTTTATTGCTGGCAGATGAGATCCCAGTTGAAAGTGCATGATTAACCCTTTCAGATCTGTGTTGGAAGCGTATGATTAGCCATTTCACTGCTAACTAATCCCTAATGGAAATGCATATTTCCAACAGGGATCTGCTAGCAATTAAATGGTTAATCATACACTTCCAACACAGATCTGAAAGGGTTAATCATCCACTTCCAACTGGGATCTCATCTGCCAGCAGCAATTAAATAGTTATCCATGTCCACTCACTATCTTCTAGCAATGAACGTGTTGGCATGTGCTTCCTGATTACGATCTCTCCACTCAGTAGCCACTGCACAGCACACATACTAGTCCTGCAGCCTTCTTTCACAACCGCACATCTGTGGCAAGGAGTGATCACCTGTGAGGATAGCCAACCCCCTGTATTGTGTATATATGTGGGCTTTCCACGTCAATTTTTTTTTTTTCTAAATGGGCTAGTGTCAATTTTCAGTCTTACTAACTATGGAACCTGAGGAATCTTCCAGTGAAAATCCAGCCAGACAATGCCACGGCGATGGTGTACATTAATCTCCAGAGAGGAAACGGAAGGTGCTCAGGAGGATACAGATCTGAATTTTGCTTGGGCCGAGGATCACATCCCCACCCTGTCTGTCATACACATTTTCAGCGTGGAAACTTGACAGACAGATTTTCTCATCAGATAGCTGCTGAACTCTGGAGGGTGGGTCCTTCACCTGATGGTGTTTGAGACACTCTG